TATTAAAGACTAAATAATAACAATATTATAACAACAATAATAATAATAATATGACGAGATAAAACGGGAAATTTTTAGTTTTGCCTTCGCTCCGCCGTCGGTTTTTTTGTCTTCTTTCAACCCCATTCGACTAAGCGTAGCTAGTAAAGGTTCTTTTCTCCTTTCTTTTAATCATTCAATTATTTTTCTAAATTTTTTTTTTTGTTTTATTCCCTCTTGCTTTATTTAAAGTCAAAAGGGTTACTACCAGATTAGCAGACATACTGTAACTCCACCTCATTCGAGGACTATGCTTTTGATGGAATACCGGTACTTTTCTTCTCGCCTTTACACGTCCACGGCTATAATTCGATGCCGACCCGACCCGGGATCGAAACCCGGGAGGCGCGGGCGATTGGCGAAAGTGTAAAGGGAGACAGGTGTAGGGTTTTTTTTGGGCCATTTGGGCCAGATTAGAGCATACACGTAACCCATAAGATGTTCCGATCGATTGAATTGGTTGGTGGATTCTTCTAGTTCTTGGGCTTCGAATTATCCATGGCATTTTCTTGTCCATATTGTCGAAAGCCCAGTTCATATGCTGTAATACTCTCTTCATGGGAAAATTACCAAAACAGTCCGAAACCTATTGCAATTGTGCCGATTCAGTCCTAAACCTTTTGGCTGCGTTTGGTCGACCGGATAAAAGTCAGAATAGGATATGTTTTATCCCATCCTGTGTTTGGTGGTGATCCAGGATAGAATAAGGTCGGATATAGACCGGATATAGCCCGGATAAAAAAATCCGAGGGGGGGTGGGATAGACCTGGATAGGATTTCTAATGTCTATTTTTCCAGAAACCCTACGCTCCACTCGCCGTCATCTTCATCCCCACACCTTGTGCGCTTTCACCAAAAAAATTTCTCGGCTTTTTTTCCTTCACCGACTCCTTCGGACCCGTGAATAGCAAAAAAAAAATTTTTTATCCTATCCGACTTTAAATCCGTAGTCCACCAAACAGTGGATAGGATATGAAGAAATCCCAGGATTTCTTATCCTATCCTATCCTATCCAGTCCTATCCTGTTTAGAAATCCGGACGACCAAACGCAGCCTTTGTATTTGCGCCAGTTCAGTCCGTCCGGCCGACGCTGACGTAACAATTTTTTAAAATATTTTTATTTTTTTCCTTTCTCTTTCCTCTTTTTTTTTTCGTTTCCTTCTTCCCTTAGGTCAAGCCTCGCCATGGCCGACCTCGCCTACAGCGATGGCGAGGTCAAGGCTCGCCCTTGCCGGCTGTAAGGACCCGGGGTTTACACTGTGTAATATTGTCCGCTTTGGGCCCACTGACCCTCACGGCTTTAAAACGCGTTGTCTTGGGCAGAGGCGCTCTCTGGCCCTTCCTCCCCCAAGCCCAATATTGTCCTCTTTGGGGCGCTCTCTGGCCCTTCCCCTCAAGGCTTTGTTCTCATCATGCGCAGCGGAAGCAAGCCCATGTGAAACGCGTTACACGGAATAAAGAACCCAAGCCTTATAAACTAGCCCAGGACTCCCCCCTAAGCGATGTGGGACAAGAGACATGCCCCCCATGCCATCCTAGAAGCCTACCAGGAGCCGCTCCTTGTCCAGGCCCTCTGGCCCCGGCGATCACTCCCCGCCCTCGTCGGACCGGGTAGTTACACCGGCCCTAGCCTCTGGCCGGTTCAGCGACCGACTAAGGGAAGAAGGAAAGAAAGAAAAAACAAAAGAGAAAGGAAAAAATTCGAAAAATATTTAAAAATTGCCACATCAGCATCGATCGGCGCCAGCCGGCGCTCACGTCAGTGCCGGCCTGCCAAAATCGGTTGGATGGACTGAATTTGCATAAATGCAAAAGGTTTAGGATTGAATTGGCAAAAAAAAAAGGTTTAGGATTGAATTGGTACAATTGCAATAGGTTTAGGACTGTTTTGGTAATTTTCCTCTCTTTTGAGCTCTTTTTTTTTAAAGCGAAAATTCGGTCTTTGAGCGGGCTTTCTAGCACCTCAATCGGTTCGCTTTCCCGGGCTTTCTTAACAACGCATTCCCCAACATTGACTTGATGTATTTGGGATTGTACTTTTGGATTGCTCCATATAAGAATTGAACCCAAGACCATGGGAAATGGAGCAAACTCCCTGGTCATACGAGGGAACATGTTGTTGGTTGAACTCCTTTTTATTATTTGACCCAAAAAGACCAAAGAAAAGGAAAAAGATTTTACAATTTTGCAGTTGATCTTATTTATCGGATGTTTCCATTTCTCAAGTTGGGCATTGTTGATAGATTTTGAATACTGACTGATGCCCTGAAAAAAAATATATTAATTGTGCTCTTTATGTGTTGTGTTTAGTTGAAACTAATTGCATTTTTACATGTTATGAAGAATTAATTCAATTCAATTGTAATGGTACTCTTCTTAATACTATGTCGAAATATGTGTTTTATCTTCTCTTCTATTCACAAATAGCGCGAGTAATATTCAAACTTTTTGTTTAATAGTATCATAACTAAACGAAACCGATGACAAACTAAAATTATTAATGCGATTTGAGCCGTCATTTCATTGGGTTGATTTGAGTTTTGGTTAAGATTCTTTGGAAATCAATGAGTTAAAATACCTTTGAACCGAATTAGATCAAACCATAAGCACCATTAACTCTAGAGGGGACAATGATAACTCTGACCCGTTTGGTGCCTTAATAAATCTCAACCATCGATAAGCTAGTTACAGATTTAAAGCTGCCTTTTATTCACGTGAATCAACGGTATGGATGGATGAGACGGAATCAGCACACCGAGTAAATTATCCCGTCCCACCTTAAAAGAGGATGGTCGAGTGGTTGGTTCGGGTGCGAAATTCCCGTGTCACCCAAAATAGCCGATCAGGCCCCCCACACCATCGAGCGATCCTATTCTACGTACATGAACGAGACTACGACATTCTACATGCGTTCATTGAGATCGCTCGAGCCGACACATCGGGTAGGCGGCATTTTAGGGTCAGAAAGACTGCAGTCGCTTTGCAAGCTCAGACAAGTTCCTGCGTTCGAACAATTTCTTCAATGTTCAATTGATGCGTGCGTGCGTGCGTGCATGCGAGCCTCATGTCTCGCCGCTACAGTTGCGGATTCCACATGACACGACCCAGGGAAAGAGAAGAAAGCGACAAGGCGTGGGAATTTCACAGAATATCGCACCAGGTTACATCCGGCGAAATGAAAGTGGGTGTGCTACAATGGTGCATCTGCCCGAGTTAGATTCTAATCACGGTTTACAAGAACTCGAGGGACTCGGGAAGCCTTGTACAGCTCGTGAATTTGGTATAAAGAAAGAAACCACTAGACAGATACGAGCCACATGGTTTGGTACCGGCCAAAAAAGATAGGGATAAGAGCACAATTGGTATCCGAACTTTGATTCAATATGTAATGTTGTTCCCAAAATTTTTAATTTGTTAAAAATGTGATCACTAAACTTTGACATGACACGTAATGTCGTTCTTGAACTTTTAATCTGTTCAATGTGGTCTCTGAACCATTGGTAAATATTCGATGTGGTTCCTAGACTATATAAAAAATATTTAAAATTCAGGGACCATACTGTACAAATTAAAAGTTCATGAACGATATTACACATCGGACCAAAGTTTACGAATCATTCGTGTCATTTTTCCGAAGAAAAGTATTTGTTTGCTTGAGTTTGAGTTTTCTTTGATTGGCTCAATTTAATTTTAAGTGCTAAAAATAAAAATGAAAAGTTGAAAATTGATCACCGAATATTATGAATTTATTACCATACATGGAAGTTGTGATTTAATGGTAGGTTTTATCAATTGGCAAGATTTTAAATTGCGGTCAAGATTAATGCTCAGATAACGGCACCGTTTTTGGACTACAAAGACCCTTTCATTTCTGAATTTCCTTACTGAGCTTGTTGCTAAAATTGTATATACGATTATTTGTTATGGCTTAATTAGGGAGATAATCTTAAATTTATTGCTGTATATCAATGTTGCCATATATAATTTCAACATTCATGAGTTCGGCCAAAAAAAAGAAAACATCCATGCATTATTCGAAACACCGGATCTGGGTGTGGGCTGGCGACTTAGATGTGGGAGCAAGGCATCCAGGCCTAGCCGCCGGTGCCCCGAGCATAGGTAGTGGGGACTCGAGCATGGGCACCGGGGTCCCTGGCTCGTCCTCAAGGGATCTCAGCCCATAAAAAGAAGTTATGTTAACTCATTTTACTAAATAATCCAAATGTTTGGAAATAAAGAAAATGTTTGGCGATAGTAAATTTTTCGCGAAATAAATAGACCATTTGAAGATTAGGGTTCGTTAATCGAAGATCCTAATGCCCGATTGGATGCTTAAAATTTTTTTACTTCTCCATATCTATCAAGATCAATAATATGCTATTGATGTTTAATTTTTTAAATCCAACTTATTTCACAAGAGACAACTTACGCATCGAAATCAACCTCGAGAGCTCGAGGCGCAACACGAAGGCCGCCGCAGCCAGCTCGACCGACATCCTAAGCGTCGCGGTCGGGGTAGCTGCACATTATTTCGATCAAATCGAATTCAATGCGAAAACACTTTCGGACTCTTTGGGGAATTATCAGATCAATGACCTTGAGGTTCCCGTCATATCACCATACGGCACGACTCAGCAACGGGCAAAACCTTTTGTTTTGTAATGGAGGGAACGAGCTGCCCCAGGAACACCGGCCCAGGATCGACATGTCCGGCGAAACGCGTCGGCCGTACCACCGGCGGAGTCTTGTCCGAGAGCGCCCCGATGCCTGCACGGAGCGACGTGTACGCTCGCGCCATCCCTTTGCTCCTTCCTTAGTTTATCCGGAGAAACGTGAATAGAATATAGGCAAAAAATCCTTCCTTTCTTTCCTTCTTCTTCTTTTTTGTTTATAGCTTTTGGTTTTTTCGATCTCTGTTCCGTCTTCTTCTGCTCGGTCTTTGACTCTCCGTTGGCTTTAAAAAAAAAGTAAAAAAAAAAAACCCAAGAAATGAGCCTGGCTCGTCTTCCCCATCTTTTCAACGGAGCGACTCGGTAAAGCCCCCCCGACTTCCGAGCTCCCCTCTGTCTTTTCCTGAGCACCCATTTCAGATGTCCGAGATCTGAGACTCTGGATTGCTCCTTTGGTAATTCTTGGATTCGATTTCCCATTTCTTTGGATGAGCATGAAGCTCGCTGTAGACGTTGTCCGATCGTTTATCTGCTGACTCCTATCGTCTTCCTTGGAGCTTGAGCTTCCTTAGCTGTTATCCTTTGGTCGAGCTCACTTCTTGGGTCAATCCTTTTGCTCATGTTCCGTCTGTAGAGCGACCGGTTGTTAATTTGTCAATATTGAAGAGTTGGGTACATGCAGAACCGATTTCTTCCTGTTTGACACTGGATCGGGGTTGTTAGCTGCGTTCTCGAAACCTTCTCAAGCTCTGTTCTTGGTTTTCACAGCCACATTCAGAGTCAACGCCGAGGTAGCTCTAGTGGGAACCGACTCGATCGATCTATTTGGTTGTTGAAGGTCAGGTTGTTGCATAGTGTAATTAGTGGCGTTTGAGGCGATTTGATCTTCATGTTCAAGGGTAGTCAACTGATTTACTAGAAACTACACAGTAGTTATAGTAATGGGCAATACCTGTGTGGGACCGAGCATTTCGAAGAATGGGTTCTTCCAATCAGTCTCCGCCGCGATGTGGCGGTCCCGACTGCCAGAAGATTCAGTACACACGAATGCGGAGACTGCAAATCAGGCGACAGACAAAGAGCCCGAATCGCCTTTGCCGGTGCAAAATAAGCCTCCTGAGCAAGTAACAATACCAAAGCCGGAGACCAAACAGGAAAGTCCTCCCAAGCCCAAGAAGAAGCCTCAGATGAAGAGGGTGTCTAGTGCAGGACTGAAGACTGATTCGGTTTTGCAAAGGAAAACCGGCAATTTCAAGGAGTTCTATAGCTTGGGGAAGAAGTTAGGACAAGGGCAATTCGGAACTACCTTCTTGTGCATAGAGAAAGCCACAAGGAAAGAATTCGCTTGCAAATCTATCGCCAAAAGGAAGCTGATCTCTGAAGAGGATGTCGAGGATGTGCGAAGAGAAGTTCAGATAATGCACCACTTGGCGGGGCATCCGAATGTTATATCCATCAAGGGGGCTTACGAGGATGCGGTGGCGGTCCACGTAGTTATGGAGTTCTGCGCGGGTGGTGAGCTCTTTGATCGGATCATTCAACGTGGGCATTATACCGAAAGAAAGGCCGCTGAGCTTACTAGGACTATAGTTAGCGTAGTTGAGGCTTGTCATTCTCTGGGTGTGATGCATCGAGATCTTAAGCCCGAGAATTTTCTCTTTGTTAGTAAGGAGGAGGATTCCTTGCTGAAGACAATTGACTTTGGATTGTCAGTATTTTTCAAACCAGGTATATTCGAGTGGTTGTTGCTCCTCTCAAGAGCTTTCGAGATTTGTCTGTTTAGCTTAGAATGCTCTTTGCTTGTAGATAATTCGGTAACTGTATACAGGACAAACAAGTAGAAAATTCCCAAAAATATGCATCCAACGCCAAAACCTATTTCAAGTGAATTTGGTACATAGAACACGAGTAAATTGTAGGTGGTCTAAATCACGTGCTTGTTATTCGTTTCTAAAAACGTGAATACTAGATCAGGTGTAGAGTTGTTACTCAACTATTGGAAGGGTGAAAAGACAGCGACAGGGTTGGCAAGAAGGTTAGAGTGTAAAAGTTGTAGCATGCATTACTCTTTTTAGGTCTCTACTCTTGACTGATGCTATAAACAGTTCTCATGAGTGAAAATGAATGATGTTTCTCCCAGGTGACAAGTTCACAGATGTGGTCGGCAGCCCTTATTATGTTGCACCAGAAGTTCTCAAAAAGCGTTATGGACAAGAAGCTGATGTTTGGAGTGCTGGGGTTATCCTCTACATACTGTTGAGTGGAGTTCCCCCCTTTTGGGCTGGTGAGATTTGTTTTTTCCCTTTTTCAAAATTATAACTCCCGTGTTTGCATGTTCTTAGTATGTTTGCAATCCTGACATTGTCAACCACATTTTATATGATCCTTTTTCGTACCGCCAATCATGAAGAGAATGAGCAAGGGATATTTGAACAAGTCCTGCATGGGGATCTTGACTTTTCGTCAGACCCGTGGCCTAGTGTCACAGAAAGTGCTAAAGACTTGGTGAGGAGGATGCTTGTTCGAGATCCTAATAGGAGGCTAACTGCTCATGAAGTTTTGTGTGAGTTGTTTCCTTTCTATTTTGAGGAGTAAATGGATGTGAGTTTTTTCCTTTTATCACCTACGATTTGAACCCTGACAGCATGCACTGAAAGTGAAGATCGAGCATTTGCTTAGCTGCTGATGAGAATTCAATTTCCTATAGGCCACCCATGGATCCAGGTTGATGGTGTTGCTCCTGATAAGCCTCTTGATTCTGCAGTATTGAGTCGCTTGAAGCAATTTTCAGCGATGAACAAGCTGAAGAAAATGGCCCTTCGAGTAAGTCTCCGGATTCAAAAGATAAGATGCGATGGCTGGAGAAAAAGGCTTCTAAAATATCCAAAAAAAAAAAAAAGCTACTATGTAGACTTCTGAACACCTTTGATAGGATTGGCACATCCAATTTGATTCTGCAACGTGTCTTCACATAGTTGATACCTGTGCAGGTTATAGCAGAGAGCTTATCTGAAGAAGAAATCGCTGGCCTGAAAGAAATGTTCAAGATGATAGACGCAGATAATAGTGGCCAGATTACCTTCGAAGAGCTTAAGGCAGGATTGAAAAGAGTGGGAGCCAATCTAAAGGAGTCAGAAATTTATGACTTAATGCAAGCGGTAAGCGTCAGCTAATGAATAAATTTTTTAAACCAATCCTCACTTGTGCCTATCTATTTAGGCTCCTATCTAATAAGACAGTGTCATACTGCAGTAGACCTCAGCTTTACTTGAAAGACTTAGCTTGTTGGACTGTTATCAACAGGGCAAATACGAGATATAAATGACGAAAGAAGATAAAAGCGCGCAAAACCTCATCTGGCATATACTTTCACCATGGGATGTCAATGTGCCAGTGAAAAGTGAAACTTCTTCTTCTTTACGAATAGCATGAATTGTCTTTACATGCTTATTTGTGAAGCCTCAAACCTTTCAGTTTACATGCCTGAATACATCTTATGTTGCTGTGTGAGCAAAGGTCACAAGCTGAGATGATTCAAGCCATATTTCTTACAGAGCTGGTTCCTAGTATTATTCGGAAAAGCGAGCTCTTTATTGTGGTGCCTCCTGTATCATCTGGATTTGTTCGTCTAATGATTACTCTAACCTTGTGCCCGCTATTTTCAGAATCATACTTCATCTTAACAAGTTATTTGTTAGCTTCAGACTAGACGAAGAGAAGGAATATTTAAATTATTCTGGAAGATTGTGTGAAATTGGTGTTGATGCTGATCCACCTCTTGGGGAGTTACCATTTTGGTCATCACGGTTACCGTGGACCCATGTTTTAAACACTTCGAAGCATTGCCATTATCTCACTGATTGAAGAATGGCAATGCAGCAGATCTTCCTTCTGGTAGATCACTGATTGGATAGCTGGTCTTAAAATTTGTAGGCGGACGTGGATAACAGCGGGACGATTGACTATGGGGAATTCATTGCTGCCATGTTGCATTTAAACAAAATCGAGCGAGAAGATCATCTGTTCGCTGCTTTTAACTACTTCGACAGGGATGGGAGTGGCTACATCACTCAGGATGAACTTCAACAAGCATGCGAGGAATTCGGCGTTGAGGATGTACGCCTGGAAGAAATGATCAAGGAAATCGATCAGGATAATGTAAGTCACGTCTCAAATAAAGTAAAATTTACCCACAACTCAATAAGTGATGGACAGGTAACAGAAACCATATCCTAGATATGCATTAGACCTAATTTGCTGAAAATAACGAAAGAGTCAAGCTGACTCGCAGACAGTATCAAACTTCTATCTCTTTCCCATCCTTCACCTGCGTAATGCTGCATTCTGTCTGCTATTGGCCTATTGGGACTCCAGTAAGTTGCTTCCAATGGTCATCAAGGTCAGATCAAACCATTAACCATAGGTTTCTTCAGTAACACTCGAGAAGTCTGTTATAATTTATTTCTGTTACATCCTTAATGGTATTATTTTGTCCTGGAGGTTGACGTTCGCCAGTTCCAATGCGTATTGACTGGGCGCCTATTGATTTTGCAGGATGGACGGATAGACTACAATGAGTTTGTTGCAATGATGCAACAAGGAAATGCGGTGTTTGCAAACGCAGCTGCTTTCGGCAGGAAAAGCCTAGAAAATAGTTTCAGCGTCGCGCTTAGATAAGCTATATAAAACTCTAGTTTCACAAGCAGCGGCGACATTCCTCTTTGGTTTCCTTCTCTTAAATATGTAATCTTTCCTTTTCATTTCGCAATTTTTCCCCTTGAAGAGAACTAGAGTTATCAAGAATGCATGGAACCAGAGCCAGCAAGGCCTGTTTCGTGTCCTTACTCATGGGACATAAGAGAGCGATTTTTCACCCCGTCTTTTGCAACCCCGTCTTTCGCACCCAAAACCTTCTTTCCTTCCTTCCTTCTTTCCTTCTTCCACACAGTGTTTGAAGACTTCTGTAACTGGTTGTATTGTGTTTTTCCAGTTCAGGATAGTTCTTTATTGTTTAACATAATAGAATGGTTGTATTTCTCGGTGAAGTTATTGGCTTTTTCCCCCATGATGCACCTTGTGCGCGGCTCTGTTTTTCGCTCACGTACGTACATCTGACTATGCACATGCATTGGATCGAAGGCCCTTGAAGCTTTAACCAGTTTTCTGTTAACACAACTATCCTATTCTGCAGGTATTGTGACAAAATTGTTGCTGATGAGTCAAACACAAACTCTCGCCTCTTCTCTCTTTTCTTCTTTTCCTCCTTTCTATATTATCTTTTGCACCATTTCATTGGAAGAAGTTGTCGGAACGACCAAGACAGCAAGGAAAAGGGGGAACAGAAAGACTAGGCGGATGCCAAGAGTTATCATCATCGTCTGCACGAGATTAGGTTGAAAAGGAGATCTTTTTAGGTCATGTGGAGATCTTTCATGTAAACGCCTGCCAATCCAAAAAAACATCTTGCATCAGACCAAGTTCATTTGCTTCCATCATCTGGCTTTGCATGACTGATAACACCATGCTTGGTTCGGGAGGGATCATCAGCTCACATCATCCACTTCTTCCACATCCTCCTCCAATTTCGCCTTTTTCGATGCTGAAATGACCGCCCGTCTTTGAAAACCCGGACCCGCTATTCACACTTGATTCGCCTGCGCCTTCACCTTCGCCTTCACTGCTATGGCAAATGCCGAAAACTGGGCTTGGGTGTCTCCATCAGCCTTTAGTCCACTTATCCATCTCGGCACAGCCACAGCCACGGCTGCTTCGACATTGACCATATTTTTCCATCCGCTTTCACGTGGGCACCAACATATTTTAGCCGTATCATGTTTTGGTATGTCCGACAGCCATGTCAGCCGAATTTAGTCAGATTTAGTGTCAGATGGATTTAATTAAAAGTATATAAACTTGATTAGAAAGAACGTTGAAACAAAAGTAAGAAATTCCATTCATACTCACGGAGTGCAAATGATGTATGATTAAACAAAGCAATGTGTGATGCTGGAGGTGCGGCTTAAAAAGCTCACAACCAGGTAAACAAGCCTAAAACGCCCGAGAGCAAGCGCCTCTGTAATCTCCGGTTAATCCTTTTTTGGCCATTTTTGTTTAGGGAAAAAGCCATAAAAAAAAAAAAACTCTTAATATGCCGTCCGCAACATATTTACCTTAAATTTTTTTTGCGACACAAAAAATCTCAAACTTATATTCGTACGACACGTTTACTCTCTTTCTCTAGGGTTTCGTCGTCGAACAGGATTAAAAATCTGCCTACATGGATGACATAGCGCCCGAATAACTTAAGTAAAATAGAAACGACGTCGTTTCAGCTGGAAAATCATCCAAATCCAACGGAAACTTGACGGGAATGCAAATGTGTTGCGTATGTATAAATTTGAAGCTTTCGATGTAAAAAAAAAAATTCAGAATAAGTATGCCTGACTCGTCAGCATAATTTTGATACTTTTTTTGTGAATATTTCCCTTTTGTTTAACAGGAAGGGTAGTAATTGATTCTCCCAGCACCAAGCCCACAAATAATCGCCGATTATTTGAACCCGCCACCGCCGGCATATAAAAAACCATTTCCTCGAAATCGACCGCCGGCGAGCGAGCGCGAGGGCGATAGAGAGAGAGCTCGTAACGAAGTACGACAAGGTAGCGGCGAAATCTTCGCCGACTTCGACCGGAACATGTGGCGGAGGCTCGTCTCCGGTGGCCATCTGCGCCTCCTCCCTTGCCGCTCCGTCCCGCGTCGCTCCGCCGCCACCGCCTCCTCCGCGAACCCCACCGTCTCCTCCGCCGTCAACTCCATCCTGCTCCGCTCCCTCAAGGAGCACTACCTCGAGGTCTCCAAGATGACTCCTCCTCCTGTACGCCTCTTCCTCTCACATCTCCTTTTTCTCTCCGCTTGATAAACCCTCGAAAGAGGTTTTGGAAAGGGTCACCATTGATAGGGGTTTTGGCGTGAGTTCGATGAAGCCTAATCGTTACTGGTCTTGCGAACCGCAGAAAGTGAACCCTCCGTCGCTGTTCACGATCGTGAAAGGCGCGCTCGACGCGGACGGTCCGGTGCTCAGGCGAACTTACAACGACGAAGAGATCAGCGTCTACGTCATGCGGTTGGCGAATCTGGTTCCCGGCGGCGGCGGAGAGGATGACGGCGAAGACGACATCAATCAGCTGTTCCTTCACGTGAGCATCGCGAAGCCTGGTCAGAAGGAGGCCTTGCATTTCCTGTGCGGGCTGTATCCGGATGCACTGGGGATCCACTCCGTTTCGATGAGGCCGAAGCTCGAGACCACGGGTTTTCTCGTGGTTCCGTCGAAATACAACGGCCCTGTTTTCGAGTAAGTCGGCGTGGGCTCTTTCGGCGATGGCATTTTATTTTTGTGTATGCACTTCTTGGCTCTGGTGTGGCATAGAGTTTGTCTGAAAGAAGACCAATTGAAATGGGATGGAGAGGTTGAAGTTTCTGATCATTTCATTACGAAGCTCGTGGAGATCGAGCAGGGGATTTGATATGCATTGGTTCTGTATGGAGGTGCCCTTTAATTTCTAGTTTTCTTCAGTGTAGAAATGTGGTAGGATGTAGGAGTGCCAATTTTAAGGCTAGCTATTTAGACCGAGTCGAAGCAAACATTCTTTCCATTGCCAAGATGACTAGATGCGAGATTCTTCGAGACTGTGCAAGACTACTCTGGCAGCTCCACAAATTTACCATCGGAGGAGGAAATTGAGGGAATCTTGTCATTCTTCCTCAGTTGAAAGAATGAGTCTTGTCATTCTTCCTTAGGTGAAAGAATCAGTCTGCTCTACAAATTTATGATCTGATAGTTTGAGGGAAATTTTAGTAGGCAGGTGAAAGAATGAGTCTGTTTATGTAATGATTTTTTTTTGTGTTTGTCCTATTGCTAACTCTCTTCTCTCTCTGCCTTTTGCTCTGCCTCTTGTAGAGCGCGGGAGTCAAATCCCGCACTTATGATACTAGCGTCCCCACCCTCCCAATTCCTTTGCCAGCAGTGCCGCATGCCTATTGGCCTATGTATGTAATGATAAGTAGTAGAACTTTAGTAGCCTCTTTGAAATCTACCTAATGACCCCTCCTATCCGGCATTGTGTCTAGTTGGGTTATGATGGATTGATGGTTCTATGACTTATGGTCGAATCTTTATAATGTTTTTAAATCTTATATCATGACAATCATGTAATATGATATTGTTCAATTTGAATGTACATCTTTTGTTATTTTATGGGAGGACATACGTATTTGATGGTGCGTACATATTAGCAGACTCATAATTCAGTTGGAAAATTAATGTGCAACTCCCCCCAAAAAATAGAGCTTTAGATGGGATGCAGATGCATTTTGAGCTGTTAAAAACGATACATGTAGCTCGCTAGCCGCTACCTTGTCCTAATTAGCTTAACTTTGGAAGATGTTGAGAGAATTGAGAAATCATAGTACTGCACGACAAAAGGTGGCAACTCTACAGTCTCAATTTTTAGAGGGAAAAGTTATATGTGCATGCAGTTTGATGGTCAATATGTGCTCGGGATTTGTTTCTGGGTGCTTTCAACCTTTCACCAATGGTTTCTATCATTTTATTTATGTGATGAGTTTATTGCAAGTAGTTTTTACCAATGTGCAGAGAACTTGATGAAAAGGTGAGGGATGCGCTTCACAGCTACATTGAGGAACGGGGGGTGAATGAGAGTCTCTTCCCATTTCTCCAAGCATGGCTTTATGTCAAGGATCATAGGGGTCTGATGCGTTGGTTTAAATCAGTGGGTACATTTATCAACAAAGATAAGTCGGCAAAAGATGCTTAATTTCAGTGAGTACTTCGATTGCGGAAGACATCCATAAGTGAAAATGCTGGTTTTCGCCGCATTTCCTTCCATAGCCTATCAGGGGAGGAAGTTCTACAGGCTGCAGAAAGCTTGGTGATTGAGCTGCTACTGTTTTGTGGTCATATAGATTGCTCGGTGATGTTAAGAAGTGCTAGTGGAGTGCATTTTTCAGTTGCATTTCACTTTGGCTTATTGGGAACAAGAGATTCTCAGATTCAGGTACTTACTCGTTAGTTCGCTTTAGATTTTTCTGCTTGTTAAGTTGAGATGAGATATGGATGTGGTTCCTCATATGAAGATTCTGCAGTGGCAGATGTTATATGGGACGGGTTTGATGAACCATTTTGGCTTGTAATTCTTTTCTTCACCAGTTTAACGTGCCATTGTTTTGCCATCAACTAATTACTTAAGCTTTTTCTTGTTACCTATTTTGTCGAGCTGATTATGTCATTATTGGACTTTCTCCGCTATCTAACTGCTCAATGTTGGTTTGAATTTTGAACCTTGCTACTGCCAGGTATGGGGAGCTTTTCCATTTTCATTTAGGCTACGTTTGGGGGACCGGATGTAACTTTGGATAGAATAATTTATATCCTATCTCATGTTTGGTGTGATGCAAAATCCGGATATATACCAAATATAAGCTGGATAAAAAGATCCCACCTAAAAGGGGGATATATCTGGATATGAGATGGATTAAAAGAAAAATAAAAAGAAAAGAACAACGTGAGTAAAAAACGGATCAATGGAGAGAAAACAAGCATGGGAGCTCAGCCCATCGGATACTATCGGATAACTTAAGACCCGAAAGCAATGCTGGGCTGAACCTCGAAACTGAAAAACAACATTCCAGATACTCCGGAAGACATTTCCACGGTGACATCTGAAAGGAGATGGGAAAAACGAGTCTAGTCAGATACTAGCATCTGATAGTTCTTCTGTTTTTTTGGCACAAAGACATCCAGATAACTCTTCCCCTTTCTACTAGGACATCGAAAAAACCAGAGTCCTTTTGGTAGAGTTGCTTAGCATTTGGAGACACATCGCTCGGATGCAAACGTTTACAATGCAATAAATCACCTGATTAACTCCATTTTACGTGATCATATCTGCCTAGCAGTTCGAATTCTTTGAAACTAGCATTCAGTCCCTGAAAATTTTTCTAAGTAAACCACTTGACATGGAAATGTACAAGTTCCCTCATAACACGTACGTTGGCTAGCTTATAGAGATAGAAAATAGAAAATAAAACAAAATGCAACGGCAATCTCCCTTAGTGGACCGAACGTAACCTTAAGATGGATCCATACGTTTCATCCTACTTTTTTTATTGCAGCACTGCTGATTACGATGATTAATTTCATAAATTATGATCTCTCTGCGACATTTGTGCATAAACTCTAGTTGACATTAATCTAGTATCAAAGCATCCAGGAAGATAGTCATACAAAAACAAAGCTAGACATCCAAGTGGTTCCCATGCAGACAATCAGGGAAAAAAGAGCATCTTCCCAAGAAATAAGATGCAGTCAAAGATGACTGGAGTACAAGAAGGCTTGTTTTGTTATAGGGTCCTTCAAAGGTTGAAGTGAACCATATGATCAAACCAAACGACATGGCGGAGGAGGTGACACTGTTTAAGACATGGTCGAGCGCATTTGCTTTGAGGGTCGTTTGGGCACTGCAGCTCAAGGGCGTTCAATACAAATCCGTCCTGGAAGATATCTCCGACAAAAGCGAACTTCTTCTTCATTATAACCCAGTTTATAAGAAGGTACCAGTGCTTCTCCACCAAGGGAGACCGATCTCAGAGTCCCTGATAATTCTCGAGTATGTCGACGAGACATGGAATCAATACCCACTTCTCCCACAGGATCCTTATGCAAGGGCCATGGTGCGATTCTGGGCCAAGTTCGGTGACGACAAGGTAATACAGCGTTTGTTTCTCTTATGCACCATGCTCACGGATAACTGTTCGATCACAAGAAAGAGTCGGGTCCATGACTTCATCAGATTGTATGGTTTTAGAGAAGTCAGTGACAATGTCAAGATCTGAATGTGTTTCCTTAAGATCTGAATGCAAACATACCATCCAAATGGCGCATCTCTTTAATAATTTGTTTCGGGTGGGGGGGGGGGGGGGGTGGAATTTTGCAGATTATGCCATCAATATGGACTGCTTTTATAAGTGAAGGCAAAGAGCAAGAAGCAGCTCTTGCAGAGGCAAGTGAGCACTTGCAGAAGCTGGAAGAACAGCTTGAAGGGAGGAAATTCTTCGGCGGAGACAACATCGGATATCTGGACATAGCACTTGGATGGTTGGCCAATCTACTTAGGGTCTTTGAGGACATATCCAGCCTCAAAGTGGTTGATGGTGAGAGGTTTCCACTTCTATTTGCATGGTTGAGGGAGTTCTCAGATGCTCCAATAATCAAAGATTGTTGGCCACCCCATGACAAGCTTATCCCTAAGTTCATTGCTCTTCGTCAAGTGTATCGTGCGAAGTCATCAACTTGAACTTTTTCTTTTGTTGGAGGTTGTTAAGACTCATGTTACTGGCAATTTTCGTCTTCATATTCCAGCTTGCTTACTGATCTTTTGAATCGATTTTCCCTTCAATTATGAAATAGTTTGCTATCCCAACTGATATATTGCTATATACATCATAGTTTGCCCTGAGTGCATGATAGAGCTAAAATTGCTATGAATTCAGTGGACATGGAACATTTTGCCAGTTTCGTACATGAAACAATTGAAGAGTTCAAAGTGTAATTCACAAAGCCAGTAATACATGGCTACTGGCTAGTTGCTGCACTGACCAAGAAATGTACAATGCCATCGCATTGAGTTTTCTAAGAAGTGATGGCAATAGCTTGAAAATTCATATAATGCCCGGGAAAAAAATTACGGAATTTGATTCAGTGATTAGAACGTCGAACATAATGGCCGTGCCACATAGTTCCTACTTCCTCCAAATAAGCAAGAAAACCAAGAGAAACAGAAACAACTATGCGAGTATTGTAGAGTCAACTGACATCATTGAACAGTAACAAAATCTTGTAACAGAGGATTGATATTTAAAGCTTAGAACATGTACAACTCCACCATCCCACCTTCGGTTAATTAAGCAGAAAAACCATTTTGACGTGTTGTAAAGTCAACACAAGCATGATGAGCCTTCGAGGAGCAAGTTGTCAAGTCTGCACAATAATTTTCAAAATAAATATACTGAGCAAAGATGATTTCGCAATTTGTGAAGTTGTGCTTACAACTGATAAATAGTCTAATCTGTACCTGGAGGCTCAAAGAGTTTCATCTAACAAATAGAAGCCTCAACATTGTCCGATCCAATCTAACTAGCGCATACACGCCTCCACCAGACAATATTAACTGAATCTAGGATGCTACACTCTTTTCCCAAGACCTTGAGCTGTAGAACTCACTTCACAAATGGAACCCCTGAAGGGACAGTTCGGGCATATTTCTCATACTCTTGCCCGAAGAATTGTCTCAGGAAAAACTCTTCATACGGTATCCGTGTTGCGAAGAAATGCCAAACGACTGCTGCGAATGCAAACGTAGACACGGGATTGCACAGCATTATCTGAGTCCCGACCGACCAGATGAAAAATCCACAATATCCAGGATGACGGATAAACCGATAGATTCCGTGAGTTATCAGCTTGTGATGATCCTCATGATTAATTTTGATCAAATGCGTGAACGACCGCCCAGCAGTTATAATCGCCATCTTCCTAATGATTTCGCCAACTACAATCATGGCTACGCCGAAATTGCTGATCCACCAGAATTCTTTCCAAGCTGGAAATAGAGAAACTTCAACAATATACTCCACCAGCGAAAAGAACATTGCAAGAAGATAATTTTGGCTGATCAAGAGGGATTTAAGAGTTACATTTGATCTTCCATGAAAGGCAACTGCAAGGATATACTCAGACCCATGGAAGAAGATAATTGACAAGAGTAATTCGGATAACTGTCTGCAAGCTGTGTAACTATATATCTCTGCCATCATTTGATCAGACAAGGTGCATCAATTTACAGTCTTGAATGTATTCTTCCGGGACCAGAGGATTCAGCTATAGGATTAGTAATCTCCTCAGATAACTTCAGACCTGAAAGCGATGCTGGGCTGAACCTTGAAACTGACAAACAACATCAACGATCTTCCGGAAGACATTTCAACATTGACATCTAAAAGGAGATGGGAAAAATGAGATTTAGGTTATAAAAGAATCAGATTCTAGCATCTAATAGTACTTTCGCGTTTATGGCACAAAGACATCCAAATAACTATTTCCTTTTTTTTTACTCGGATACTTACAAAACCAGAGTCCTTTGGATAAAGTTGCTTGGCAATTGGAGACACACTGCTTGGATGCAAACATTACCAACGCAATAGATTGCCTGATAACTCCATTTTATTCAGTCATCATATCCGTCTAGCAATTCAAATTTTTTCAAACTAGCATGATGTCCCCGAAAAATTTTCTGGGTATACCGCTTAACATGAAAATATACAAGCTCCCTTACAACATGTATATAGAATTGGCTAGCTTATAGAAAAAAGATAATAGAAAAGAATATAAACTGCAACAGTAATCTCCCTCAGTAGACAGAAGGTAACCTTCATGTTTCACTGCATTCCAAGAGGGCATAACATTCTCTAACCTAACAACCAATAGCACACTAGACCAAATCCAAGCATCGGCGCAGCAAGTTAATTTCAATCATTGTAATTAGCAGTGCTGCAACAGAAACTAGGACGAAAACTTCCCTACAACATTTGGAGTTTAGCTTTGATTTTAAACGCTGAGCCACGACAGCATCTAAAGACGACACGGTGATTTCAACATCTTTAATGCAATAAATTACACTGGATTTTAGCAATCAAGAGCAATACATCTAAGCCTAGACATGATCAAAAAGCACAACCGGGCAGATTTTCTTAGTCAAATTCAATAATCAGCGGGTCAAGATTACGCGAATCAAGCTCGTCTCGACAGTCGATAAGATTAGCAGATGTCATCAGCAGGGAAATCACACACCAAAGCCAAAGAGAAACGACGGCACGAAATGAATCCAGCTGCCGAATCTGATATTGGGTTTAGCCCATTTTTCGTTATTGCTCTCCACGTTTCGAGGGGCTATCAGAAGAAGGCACGAGCGAAAGCATTCGATCAAGCAATAACAGAGCATACCCACACCGAGCTCGTTGGAGCAAAATTAGAGCGAAGAGCACGCGCCTTCTTACCAGTGAAAGCGAGGATTTTGACATGGCCAGAGCTCGAAGACGCCCGAAAAGGAGCGAACTTCAACACCGGATTCACCCCCCAAGAAACCTTCCACGACTCCAAGAAAGACTGATAAGAGGTTCTGAGCTGCAATGGAAGAGTAAAGGATTTGAGACTGCAGAGTGCAGAGAAAGAAGGTGGCAGGGGTGGTGACTGTAGAAGTCGCGGAAGATACCGGAACGACCGGTAGCAGGTTAAAGATGTTCTCGGGACTCACGAGAGTACAGCTGGGCACGGCAACCATTCTGTGCCCAGAATCAGATTTTAGGCAAAAATAATTCTTTTTGATTCTGTACCCGGAAATAATTTCTAAGCATTTGAAGGCGTTTGGTAACTGTCCAAAATTTCTGTTAAAGAACAGAAATGCGTTTGGTAACTATACAAAATTTCTTTTTATTAATAATATTTTGAATTTTTTAATATTTTTTTCTTTCTTTCCCCTTCCTTTCTTGGCCATGGCCAGCCGCCGGCGCTGGCGACCGGCCACAGGCCAGGGCCGGCGAGGGCATTGCGGTCCTCGTCGCTGGCCTCGTCGGTCGTGACGGTGAGGTCAGCCTCGCCTTGGCTGGGCAAGGCTCGACCTCGCCGTCACCAACCCTAGCGATGGCAAGGCCGGCCTCGCCTTGGCCGGGCAAGGCCTCGCCATCGCGGCCGCCAGCCGCCCTGGTCGGCCATCGGTGAGGGTCGCGGCCGTGAGCCGCCCTCGTCGGCCACCGGTGAGGGCCGCGACGCCCTTGCCGGCCCTGGCCTGTGGTCGGCGGCCGGTGGCAGATGGCCGGCGGGTGGCAAGTGGCGGGTCCGAAGAACAACAACAAACCAAAAAAAAGAAAAAAACAAGAAGAATCAGTTCCGGAAAAATTGTTCTAGAATCAAGAAGCTACTTTTTTTTGCTTTTTGATTCTGTTCCAAAACTAATTCTGGGCACAATCAAAATTGTGCCTGGGCACAAAAAGTTTAACAAACGAATTTCTATTCCCAAACTGATTCTAGGAACAAAAAAAAAAGAATCAGTTACTATTTGGTAAGTTGCCAAACAGGCCCTAAAGTGCAGTATTGATTGAATTTCTTTTGTCATTGTCTCCTTTTTTAATTTTGGGTTCTGTAATTATGGAAAAAAGTAGTCATGCGACAGATTTCCCTACCTGCTGGCTCAAGAATAAAAGGCTCAAATGATTCTTTCAAACCACAAAACTGAATCATGAAATGACTTAATTGAATTGGAAAAAGGATTATCACCTTTTGTAATCTTATAGCCAAAAAAAATGAGATGTTGGTCGTTATTTTCCTATTTGCTTATGGTTTTTTTTAATCCTTAAATATGGCACAAAAAGAAAGACAACACCCGAAATTAGTGTTGCGAGCAGGGCCAATTAATAGTGGCAATGAATCGATGGGTAGATGGAGACATTAGAGTCGAGAATGTGAGAGACTAATGAGTGCAGTAACAAAGAGAGAGAGATAGAGGTATATTAAGAAATTGGTGTAGGATTAAGATATGGTTTATGAGGTTTATGACTGAATGAGATGGATAATAAATTATGACTTTTCCAATCTCCTGTTTAGTGCGGAATCAATAGTTCTAAGATAAGAACAAAGATCTTACTTGATATTCATGACATGAATCGAGAATTAGATTGGTTTAACTAAGAACCGAAGTTATCATATTATATTTCAAGATGAATCGACTCGTTGGTACAGTATTAAAAAAGATTAATGTACCTACGATGTCAATCTAGTTTCATTGCAGTTCTTCTTCAGCTTTTACCTATTCCGAGGTCTTCGTATGCAACTTGATTGATGCAATTCGATGTTTCATTTCCATAAGTTCGTCCATGTTTTGTGATGCCCGTTCGTTGATGATACTTTCAACAAATCTACCAAGTCTTTGATACCAAAAAATACGTGTTACTTTAAAATGTTATGGTAATCTAGAAAATTATTTTCAAACTGGCCAAACCAATTTGTTTCTTCAGTTGAACTTAGTCTAATCCAATGGTAGAAAATATTTCATTGAAATTGGACGATCCATCGACTCCGCCACGGAAAAGAATTGATGATCCTCTTTCCCATGGTTCAAGCCGTGCAAAGTCTTCCTCAGCTTCTGTCCATTTTTACATGTTTTGTCAGACAACACTTTACACGTAACATTTTCAGAATATGTATTGAAGCACATACCCAAAAGATCTCATGAAAAGGGACTACAACACATGAGCAGCATGAGGAATGATGACATGCAGATTGCACCAATTCCAGAGTAAGTTCCTAAACTTAAGAGGGAACACAGAACTCGGCCTCGGCCTTTGCCTTTGAATCTAAAATGCTCCCAATTCAAGAGCTGTCTATTATGAATGAGCAGGTTAGTTCGATTCAACATCACAGTATCTCTACCATGATGTTGTAGCAGATCTATTGCAGAGGGATTCGATTCCGAGGATGGTCGTATCAACTACGGCTTCGGGTATTTTCTTCTCTAGTTCAGATTCACCGACCCACATGGAGCTTCTCCGGTGCAACAGCTCATGGGCCCCTCTTGTTATATGTTCCCTCGATGTCTCTCTCGTCCTCCAGTCCTCGAGTCTCTCTTCAGCCCTTTCCTTTCATCTGCATTCGAGCCATTCGGGAAAGGACATCGCCATCTGAGCTTTCTACCAAAAGGGGGGAAACGCAAGGAAGAAGGGGAAGGGATTTGGTTCATACGAAAATGAAAAGCACGTTATTAACTGCACTGCAACCTCACGAGCAACAGAAACGCCCTGTGGTAGAAAGAGCTCGACCATTGACAAATCTGCTTGAGAAGCATAAACAGAAGAAGCACTGCCATGCCCTAGACTAAACTACCAAAACTGAGAAGTCAGCTTCGATGAACGTAACTATTAGTACATGGTCACTGCAATGCTTGTCCCAGCTGCAGTTTCTTTGCGCACGATTCATGTTGCAGAGTCGCCGCGGCGTATGCAAGTGTCATTTCCCATGCACCCTCTCAGGGTTTTGACGCTCTCCATCTTAAAGCGAGGATTCTTTTGATTGTCGCTGCTCGGTTCACTTCCAAGAAGAATCGACTTGTCTCGATGCTCGTTACTAAGCCGAAGGCACTCAATTCCCAAAGAGAAGCGGCCGCATTCTCAGAAAGAGGAAGGACGTCGTGTTCGGCGAAAGCCAAGCGGAAGAGGCGCCGCTACTTCTTCGATCGCTATAAACCTGCAACGTTTGGGCGCGCGGGGCCGGGGGGGCATCAATCACCAATGCCATCCCCGCTCCCTTCGACTTCGGACTTCACATTCGCTTGTCATGAGGGAGCGCTCTCCCCTACCATCGCGCGCGGATCGCGAGCACGAGGCTTCGCGCCACCTGCGTGATCGATGCAAATTATGTACAGAGATCGGATGTTGCGAGGACACTGCGGAGGATGAGACACGACCATGAATTTCAAAGTGCTGGTTCCCATTCGTTCCGCCGGGAAATACGACTCCATGAATTTTAAACGTGTTTCTTTTTTTTTTTTTTTTCAGAAAATCTTTCGGTCAGTTCTTTTTGGGAAAAAACCACCAAAAACCCCAAACTTTACCATTTGTGACACATTTACACCGAACTTTTTTTTGTGCCAAGAAAAATCCTAAACTATGCAATTTGTGACACATTTACCCCAATATACTGTAACCTAGGGCATTTTAGTCTTTTTCCCCTTTTCTATTTTTTTTCTTTTTTCCGGCGGGGGCTGAGGTCGCCGGCGAGGGCGAGGGACCCTCGCCCCGCCCAAGCGAGGCGAAGGCCGCCCTCGCTGGGCGGCGAGGGCGGCCCTTGCCGGCGTTGGGCGAGGGCGCCTTCGCCTCGCCCGGGCGGGCGAGGGTCCCTCGCCCGACGCCGGCGAGGTGAGGGCCGCCCTCGCCCAACGCCGGCGAGGCGGCCCTCGCCTGGGCGGGGCGAGGGTCCCTCGCCCGACGCCGGCGAGGCGAGGGCTGCCCTCGCCCAACGCCGGCGAGGGCAGCCCTCGCTTGGGCGGGGCGAGGGTCCTCGCCCTCGCCGGCGAGGTCTCCGGCGACCTCGCCGGCGAGGCAGCCCTTGCGAAAAAAAAAAAAAGCAAAAAATAGAAAAAGGGAAAAGACTAAAATGCCCTAGGCTATAGTATATTGGGATAAATGTGTCACAAGTTGCATAGTTTGGGGTTTTTCATGACACAAAAAAAAGTTCGGAGTAAATGTGTCACATGTGGTAAAGTTTGGGAATTTTGGAGGTTTTTTCCCGTTTTTTTTTTTCTTTTTTTTGGGTTTTTTCCAGAAAAGGACGGGACAGCTCAGCAAGTGCAACGGCATGGTATCATCAGCGTGGCACTATCGGTAATTAAAATAATAATAAAAAAGCTGGGGATTCTGGTCATGCTGTGCTCGCGGCTCCACAGCTTCATCGCCACCGCCACAGCCACCGCCACCGCCGCCATCACCATTCCCACTCGCCGCGGCGGCCGCGGCCGAGCTCGCGCCCCGAAGCCCCGCCCCGTAGCCGCCGCCTTCTCCTCCTCCTCCTCTCTCGGTTCGAGGTACGGGCTCTTTCCTTCCCTTCTTTTGCCTCTCTTCCTCTTTCGTCTGCGCCATCGCTTCCCGTTCCGTTCGGCGCGCGCCTCGCGTTCGTCGTCTGCCGCCTAGTGCTCTGTCGAAAGCGCGAGTAGGCCGGTAATGTAGAGTTCCCTGTGGCAGCTGCGGCTCTATAAATCGTGGGGAAATGGGCGACGGCGGTCCGTCGAAGGGTTCGGAGGTGGTCGTCGACGATCGACAGTCGCTTGATCGGAAAATCGACGCGGTTCGGAAGGCCGGGCCTCAGAAGCTGCAGGTCCTCCTCTTTCCAAAAAAAAAAAAAATTTTATTTTTGCTGCTCGTTTGTTTGATGTGTGGGGAATTTGTCTGAACCTAAGACTCCTTCAGAAGTTGTTTGTATGATGTTGTGGTGATGATGCAAGGAAACTGATAAAGATTTTGCACTCGGTGAAGTCTGTACTATCATCACTTGCCAGCGGCGTCAATTTACGCATTTCTGATGAAAAATCAGTACCGGTTGTCCGTGATTTTTTCGATGATGGTGAATGTATGTTAAATGGTAGGGTCTGCATCTGTATTTTGGCCCAACATTATCTAGGAATGTGGTATGCCTGATATCTATATGGCAACACTTTTGTATTTGACACCCTGTTGGTGGAATTCATATCTAGTGTTTTTAAATTCCTTTTTTTGGCACATGGAAGTTTCCCCTGCATTCGTTTATATATTGATATATGCAGCATCAGACAAAGATTTTGGGTCGTCACCAGTATTATTGGCAGGTGATTGCAGATTTTGATGCGACACTGACTAGGTACCGGGTTAATGGCTGCCGGGGCCAAAGTAAGTTGCCGTTGATTGTTTTGGATTATGTTCTGTTATTTCCTGCGTCATTGTTGGTACCCACCCTGGTTTTCATGTCTAATAATATTAGTAGGCAGTCATGGCCTTTTGCAACAGGGGAATCCGGAATACGATGCTAAGAGACACCAATTATATGAATATTACCATCCGCTAGAGTTCTCACCAACAATTCCAATTGATGAAAAGACAAAGCTCATGGAAGAGTGGTAAGCAATGTCTCTGCTCTTAATGGTACTATTTATGCTTGTTGTACAATGGGACTTTGTTATGCGTAAGTTTGTAGGTACTGTTGATATCAAGTAACACGGGTTTTGAGGATCTTAGCATGAAGTAAAACACTTAAAATTTAGTTGCTAATTAGTGCACCAAAATGCTTCAGTATATTAACATCTCTCTCTGAATTACTGTAATCAACACAGGTGGGAGAAGACTCATGCTCTTCTTGTTGAGGGTGGCCTTACATATGATGATATAAAGAAGTCAGTCGCTAGTGCTAACATTGCTTTTAGGGAGGGTGTAGTTGAACTCTTTGAATTTTTGGAGGTAAGTTTCATCTTTCATGGAATGACCCCTGCATCTGGCTGTGACACACCCCCTAGAGCGTGTGAAATGCTTATATTCTTCTTTTCCAGTGGAGTAGATGTCATCAAAGAATCAGTGTAAATGATTAATTTCAGCATCTTGTTTATAGGTATTAGTGCCTTGAGTGTAATTACGCTAGTTATGTCTCAGTAAACTCTCTGTCGGTTGCAGGAAAGAGGCATTCCCATCCTTATATTTTCTGCGGGGCTGGCAGATATTATAGAGGAGGTTAATACCGAAAGAGAAAAACAATTATGGTACTATTTTCTGATTGAGTGTTTTTCTAGTGTAATTTGATTCTTTTTTCTATGTTGACACTAGGTCTTGAGGCAGAAGCTCCACAGATCTTTCAGAAACATCAGGGTTGTCTCAAACCGGATGGAGTTTGACAATGATGGTCGCCTTATATCTTTCAAAGGTATCAGCTAATCAATTTCATGCTGCAGAAAAATGTCAAATGTTATGCATGACTTTGGCAATAAATTTTCATACGACAGTACTTCCCTGATTTTCCTGAGATCCTGTTAGCTGGAATATTTTGCTTCTTTCTTGAATCCTTTTTTGTGTAATTAATGTTCTTATCTAATGACCTACTTCTGCATGCACTTGCGGTTGATTTTTGTGGCTGTCTTCTTTTTGTTGCTATTATCTCTATGATGAGGAGTAGCAGTGAGCTTTTGACATCAGGTGGATCAATTGACTTCTTGTTGTTGACCACTCCACTGAAGCTGATAGAACTTCTACTGCGATTAGCTGCTTACTTTTATGCTTAATGGATTACTTATATCAATCTGTGGTTATTTAATGCATTGGGGATGTGGTAATATAACTTGGCGGACTGGGAGTAGAATTTTCTTCTTCTGCTGCTTATTCTTCAGATGTCATCATCAGTTTATATATGACCTTTGCTATTTATATGGATTTTGTTACTAAGTACCCTGCGATCACTTGCTAAACACCTCAATAAAGATAGTTTATCATTGCCAATGCACTGTCTTTCTCAGGTTATGTGTAATCAGTACATTGGAAATGAAAAAATTTCTTTATTAATTATGGTTAACAGTGCCTGGAGCACTCATCAGCATAACCCTTTTATATAGGCATGAATTGCATCACTGTTGTCTCCCACGATGTGAATGTTTCAGTTTGCTTGAGTATGTGCTTACCAAAAGATGAATACAGCTTTACTTTTCTGTATACACGTTGAAATGTCCAGGCAGGACAATTCACAGTCTGAACAAAAATGAGCATGCACTTGATATGGCTGCTCCACTTCACGAGCGATTAGGTGATGTTGATGGACCAGTTGACGATAGTGCCTCAGTGAAGATGAGAACCAATGTCTTGCTTCTCGGGGACCATATTGGGGACTTGGGGATGTCTGATGGTCTGAACTATGAAACTCGAATATCACTGGGATTTTTGTAAGTCTATTTCCCTTTGTTGTGTGCAGGAGTTCTGAGTGTTTATATTGAATTTTGTGGCCATCGCACCGTAGATTTAGCCTCCACCTTAACCAAAAAAGGAATAAGAAAAAAAGGGATGTACCGAATGTATTTCACGATAATCTTCTGGAAGTGCATGCCATTTTTTGCTATACTTATAGATGTGCCTTCGATGCCGGAAATAGTCACAACTTTTAATGTGGAGGTGAAATGACTGATCTGATGTTTGCGTGTCAACGGTTTTTTGTTTCCTATTTCCTTGTTTAAAAAGCGGCCATTGCTAGAGAAGTCTGTCCTCCGCGGATTCATCTGCTTCTTTGACGGTGTGAACATCTTTTCCAGGAATGACCAAATCGAGGGTTCTATCAATAGCTACCGCAAAGCATTTGACGTGGTTTATCTGGTTAGTCTATAGACTGAACTCCTCAATAAATTTCTCGCCCTTTTTGTGAACTCGATCCTCTTGTGATTCTCATTGCATTAAATGTCTTCACTTTCATAGAATGACGCTCCCATGTGGGGGGTGCTGGAGCTTGCCTCTCAACTTCTTCCAGCCGAAGCCACTTAAGACTGCAGCTGGTCCCTTTTTTTGGTCAATTCAGGCGTTTAATATTGAGGCAGAAATTATTCGTGATACATTTAAGATGAATATTAGACTCAGTAGAAAGATGCCATTATATCTTCTGCTGCTGAATTACAGTTCTCGCCTCCACATTAGTCTCGAGATGAATCGTGAAGGTAACCTGATGAGATTTAATTGGTAGACCCCATGCCATGTTGAACATTGGTAATGCAGCGATGCATCGGTATTCTTGGTCCTAAAGTCCATAAAATTCTCTGTATTTAGGGTCTTCACGCCCCGCTTCTTCAATTCTTTTCTATATCATCTGCCCTTTTTCCTTTTGGACTGATTATGGGAATCGAATTTCTACTCGGAAAAGGCTTTTTGCCCATTGAAAGACTGATCCCCCTTATTTATCAAGCACGACGTCAACTGGCGAAACCCCTGTCTAAGCCGCACACGAACTTGATGCACCTTAACTTATTAGGGAAGTCCACGCACCATATTTACAAGATGTGGGCTTGGATGATTGTTCAACGTTTTCAGCAAAGTAAACAATGTTTTTCCCGAGCGTGCGGCCATTGGATTAGAACTGGTCCGCTGAATTTATCAAATCCGAGGGTTTGCAGACTATGTTTACATATGTTTAGAATCGAATATCATAAAACCAGCAGCGCAGGTAGATTTCATGAGGTATAAAGTCGAAATGGGTTCTGATAATGACTTCCCTTTCATCCCACAGCCAATAAAATTTGGTCAACACCTGTCTATCTTCTCTTTCTTCATCATCATCTGATCCATTGAATTAGCAATCCTTTTCTTTTCCTGTTTCTTTCTTTTTTTCTTCCCAGCAAAAGAAGTTGTCTTACCCTTTCAAATTCCAATTGCAGACTTCTTCGTCCCATGAGAAATTTTGCAACCCCAATTTCATTTCGAAAGAGAAAATGAATATACAAAGAGAAAATCAGAAGAGATTGGCTCCGTTGAAGCCAAGAGAAATAGAGGGTAGTTTTCAAGATTGAGGTTTCGAAACTTCCGTGCTTGCTTTCGGTAATGTTGCAGGCGTGTTCTTCCATCTGATCATTTTCCGGCGAACACCCTTTTGAATCAAGTACCTAGCTTTAGTAGCTTACCTGTCTCCGCCGTGAGGATCACCGTCGACCCGCACGGCCACGGCCGCCGGCGACTTCCTGCAAACGGGGCACGTGGCGTGCAGTCTCAGCCACGGGTCGACGCACCTCACGTGGAAGAAGTGCCCGCACACCGGCAACAGCCGCAGCACATCGCTCTCCTTGTATTCGCCCAAGCATATCGGGCAAGAGCCGCCGCCGACCCCATCGCTCGAGTCCGCCGAGCTGCTCTTGTCGTGGTGCTTCGCGCTCGAGAACAGGACCGTCGGGTAGCTCCGGAGCGTGGCCTCGTCGATCCCCCCGCCCGCTCCGGCCGGCCCGGCGACGAGGCCCCGGAGCACGAACCGAGCCGGGCTGACTGCCCCGCGGTTGCTGCGGATGCAGATGTAGGAGGAGAGGGTGATGATGAGGACGAGGACGATGAAACCGATTATGAACGCCATGTCGTACGTGAACGAGCTGAGGTCGTCCGTGTGTCCATTCGAGCTTGCGCTGCTGCTGCTGCTGCTGCTTGAACTGCTGTTCATGTTCTGCGAGCGTTCGAGAACAGAGAGGGAGGGGAGAGACTGGTTTTACTTTACAGTTTTGTATGGCAGCAGACGCCAAGGTCATCAATGAGGTGTCGTATATTAACAACGAAATCGATTTTATCAAGCAATATAATAATTTGAAAACGACCCATCTCCCTATTTTATAAATCAATTTCATTTTCCATATTTTCGAAGATAATTCAAAGGAGTTTCACGAGTTTAACTGGAGCAAGATTAAGCACAAGAAGCCACTGAATTTGATATGATGACTCTCTTCCTACGAAGTCGTTCAGCTAAAATTCTTCTATGTATCAATCATCCCCCTTTACATATGGAGTGTGTATGTACGCGGCGTCGCTGATGAAAGGGATGTTCGCGTAGATCCCCGCGACCGCGCACCTCACGCACTCCATCAGCAGAAATATGAAGGCCGACCCGACCATCGCCCAGTAGTACATGCCGAACCGGCCCCCGTAGTGGATCAGCGGCGCAAAGTTGCTGGCGTACCACAGGATCTGCAGCACGTTCTCCAGCAGGATCCCCATCATCACGTGGTACCGGAAGAAGTGCGGCCACTTCCGGTTCCGCACGACCCCGACGTACACGGCGAAGCAGTACACCATCAGGAACCAGGTGGGGAGGCGCCGGATTGCCCCCGGGATATAGTAGCTCAGGAACTCGAATTGCTCGTAGTGCTCCATCAGGGGCTGGAAGTAGAAGGCGGTGTCGGAGACCTGCAGGGCCATCAGGTACGGAACGCAGGCTAGGGTCCGCCACCACCACTCTGGCTTCTTCACAATCTTAGGGTAAGGGATGCTGAATGGATAGTCCAGGTACACTCTTGGAGGCACCGGGCATTTGCTTCTTCCGGTTCTCGGCAGTAACATACTTCGGTCCTTGCCGAACAATGGAGTCGATGCAGTGGACAGATGCAAAAGAGGCCGACCTGCTAAATTTTGAAAAGTAATGTTAACATGATCCGTTTTAGCAGTTCAACAGAACAAAATATTTTGATAACCATGACTGAGTATCAAGAAACTACTTAACGATATTCTCATTTTCTAAATCATACGATCTCTTATCTTCCTTATTGTTACGAACAAAAGCTCTTCACATAGTTACTCCTTTCCTTACCGTCATCCGCAGAAAATGAGGATGGAAAACAATTCAAGAGCGAAAAGGTGATCAGAGAAGCTCATTCATTCAGGTAAAGAATACTAGTTCTTCACCGCGTTGGCTTTATTATCGGTTAAATCCGTTCAAAGCAATGGGGCATACATAAGCATGAAGAGTGAATATGCACCTTTGGATATCTGAGATTGCAGCTCGACGCTGTTTGACAATACAGGCCTCACAGGCCAGTGATAGTCACAAGTAAACGCCAGGCTACACGATGGGAATTTACCAGCCTTGGGACGCACAGAGACGGTCCTGGAGGTCTTGGTCCATCCCCGCCGACTAGCATTCAAGTGCCTGTTTAAATTACAAAGATTTCAAGAACAGTTTAACGAGATGGTTGTGCCGACTGCTAATAGACCATGAAGAACAATCAAGTCGGCTCAGAGATGACCAAAAGAATGACAGACAAGTCTGCATAACAATGATCAGCCACACAGTGTCGGAAAACATCGAATAGCAGCTTGACCAAGTATGCAAATTAACAGATTTCCCATCGCATTACAATATATCGGTCGTATCAGCGCCATCCAATTTTCAGAAGAGACACTTGTGGCTGCAATAATCCACCACTCCTTACATTCTTTCATATTGCCATCATATCAGGCGTGTGGAGCTAGATAGGCTCTCTACTTTTGGCGTATTGCATGATGCATTCATAGTGACACCTTCACAGTTGATTTGAATGAAGATGAGATCACATGTCTGTCTCTGCTTGAAAGCAAATTTGGAGAGTTTTAATCAACTGTAAAGTTACTCCTTCCGTTTACCGCTAAAAACTCCTCAATAGTTTCCAAGTTTTTACTGTATAAAAAACTAGGCAAAGCTATCTCCCCTACCACGATTCAACTGCTTTAACTCGGTCAAACGCATAAACCCAAACATACATCCGCTATCTAAACAAAAAGCCGGAACATCTAGCGACACCCTCAATATTTTTTGCTTTGTTTCCTCAAAAGTCGAAACCGCGAAGTCAATCCAGACACGCCTCTAGTCTCTCTTCTTGAGATGCGTGGATCCATAGACGAAAGGCTTATTCCTTTACAACACATAAGTACTTTTCAATGGGCTCCAAGCGAAGTGACATTCTTGATCATAACCTTTGCGGGTAATACTACAGAACTCCGAGGCAGAAGCGACATCATCGATCACATCTAATACATGCATATAGAGTGCAATCTAAGTCGTTTGATAGAACAGATCTAATGAAGCCCGATTTATCTTAAGACCGGAGAAAACAGCGCCGCTTTTGGGGGGCTGCACATTTGATTGTTTGTGTACTCGTTTGCTGTTGCTTTAAAGTACCCATCTTATGCTCCCAGTAAAGAAAATGAGACAGAGACCAACGGAACGAGACACAGATAGAAAGAGAAACATCTTTCCGTATTCTTTTTACCAAGCTAGTATATCCAAAAGCGAAAATCAAGAAGCACGTACAGAGGAGGAATCGCCGCCTTTTGGATGGCGGCGGCAGCGACTGCCGGCATCTGAGCCGAACGATTCTCCCTCTTCTCCTGCAGTCACCCACCAGCAAAGATCTGCAAAAAGAGAACAAAAAAGTGATGAGCTCGGAATCGATTAGACCGGCACATAAAGATCAGAAACATGGTTCCGGAGATTCTTGCATCGATGAGATCAAAGGCGAACAAACCACGCCGAGAATCGTTACCTGAACACGAATTCCGGGTCGAACCAAAGAATTCTGGGCTGAACCAACGGCACGGAGATGCAAAGAGAAGGGAACCGACGTTGGAGGGTTGGAGGAAGAAAGAGTCGGCGCTTGGGAAAATGATAAGCGTCAGCGTTGCAATTTATAAGTCGGCGGGCACGGATGGGAAAATTGAAAGAGAGGAAGAGCCGGTGGCTGGTGAAATTCTAGGTGCTTCCGAGGAGTTGGGCTTGGGCCGTGACTTCTTATGTCCTTCACATGATGGGCCCATTGGACCAGTAGGCAAACCTAGGTGTTATCCTCCTCCTATGATAGTAATGTTACGTTCTTCTTTGGTTGGTATAACGACACAAATAATCTATAAACTTTAGTTTAATGTGCAATATGATTCATGAATTTTTAATTTTTTTAATGTAATCTCTGAACTTTAGCCTAATATTTAATGTGAACCCCGAATTTTTTGTACATGTTCAATGCATTCACTGAACTATATATAAAAATATTTAATGTATTCCTTTCATTAATTCAAGCTCGGGGACTACATTGAACATTTTCATATAGTTAAGGGACTAAATCGAATATGGATCAAAATTTCAGGGACGGTATCGAACAAATTAAAAGTTTAGAGATCACATTGTACATTGGATTAAGGTTTATAGACCACATCGAACAAATTAAAAATTCATGGACCACATTGCACATTCGACCAAAGTTGAAGGACTATTTATTTCATTTTTCCTTTTTGGTTTTGTTCGAGATTTAGAGCTCTTTGGCCGGCCACTATCCGAGGGAGAAGGAAAAAGAAAATTAGAAAAAAAGAGAAAAAGAAATTAAAAATTCGAATTTCTTTTTGCATATTTTTATGAGAACAAACATTTCATTAATCAAGGACCCGCACCCAAGTGGCGAGGACCCACGCCACGGCCTTTGCAGACTAGAGCTCGAGTGTCGAAGACCCGATTTATGGGCCTGGGCTTGAGTGTCCGACAATCAGGTACGGGCACCAAGGGTTCAAGCCCGACCTCAATGGACCTGGGCCCGGCTGCCGGAGACTTGATCCTAAACGCCGGGACCTTGGAATCAACGTTAGGGTTTTCGTGCCCAAGTGTAGAGTTTCGGGTTCAAATGCCGATATTTAGTCATATTTTGAAAGATGTTTTCCAACTTTTCAAAAGAGGAAATCATTTAATTTAAACATAAGTCTTCCGTTGACTCATTTTCCTTAGCAGACCAAACGCCAAAAAATGAGGAAAATATTTTCCGCAAAATAAACAGAGCCTTATACTTTAATCTATGTGATGACCCAAGTCCATCTGTAGCTGCTCATGAATTAATAGGTCTCGCATTGACGAGGTCTTAGCCGCCCCGGGAGAACGTTCTTTGCGGATATTATTACCAATATTCAAAATTGGGTTATTCATAGTATTACTATATCTTCCCTATTTATTGTGGGTTGGTTATTCGTCAGCACGGGTTTAGATTATGATGTGTCTGGAAGCCCTCTTGTCCAAACGAATATTTTATAGAGAGCCGACAAGGAATATCATTAATAACTGGCCATTTTGACCCATTACTTCCCCAAACGAGCTGATCTACGGTCTCTTTCATATATGTCGATACGATCATTCCGTGTAACATTCTTGCAGTTTCGATGACCCCAATTAATGAATCTTAAGCGAAGATTGATCGTGTCTGCTTTTATTATCTGTTGTGAAGATTTGAGGGAGCGAAAGACATGAACAACTTTGAGTGGAAAGGAAGCAAGACAAAAGCGCAGAGAGAGAGAGAGAGAGAGAGAGAGAGAGAGAGAGAGAGAGAACCACCGAGTTTCAATTCTTTCCTGATGTCAAGCAAGAATATATGCCTTCATGTCATGGCAACTGAAATACTATACTAGGAACAGAGAGAGAGAGAGAGTGTACCTTAAACAATATGCCCGTAATTACGGACGCCACTTTTGGTCCTTTTTCTGCATTACTTAAGCTCGATCACTTGCACATCAGTGAAGCAAAGTCGCTGTTTTGCAAAGCGATCATACAGAAGAATCTTCCTTCTTTTTCTGATTTTTTGGGGGCTTGCACATAAAGAATCCTCTTTATCAGCAGTTGCTTCTTCCTCAAATTTATTCCTGTCTAATGTACAGCAAAAGAAAAAGGCAAAAGGACAATCCGCTCGCATGATCTAGCATTGTCTATACGTCCTGTCGTCTATATATGAGCACGCGCTGTGGAATCTGATCTTGCTTCCCCGCAGTGAGAGAGGCTTGTAATCTTCTGGGTTGATACTCAAAGAGGATCAGAGCATTACTCCGAGAGAGTGTGGCTATGGAGAGAGGCAGAGCATGCCTGAAACTGTGGATTCTCCTCCATCTATTCTCCTTATCCATTGTCTTCATCCACAGCGGTAAGCGACCGTCGCAATCGCGGCAGCATTTCGCGTTGCGGACCGTCTCATGTTTCTTGGTCGAGTATTCTTCTTTAGTCAGTCTCACTGCCGCTTAAATCAGTGTCATTCTTGGTCATTCATTGTGTTCTTTTCATCCTATGTCCTGCTGATACATGCTTGTGACATGATTGATGACCAAATCTCAGTGATGTATTGAATGGTCATTTTCCTCGATTAGTATCACCTGAAACTCGGGGCTTTTTCTTGTCTTGTAGATGCGAGAAGGATGACGCCACGGTCCAAAGGCGCGGCGCATCCAAGGATTCCGGCCCTGAGATCCACGAAGAGGATGAGAGTGACGAGAAAGCTGGACTTGCCGTCGGACATCCAACCTTACGTGAGCTCGCCGTTCACGTTGCCGCCGTACGATTCGCTTCCCCCGATTCCTCTGCCTGATCTCAGCCCTCCATACTGCATATACCCACCATTGACCCCACAACCCCCGGCTTCCACAACAATCCCACCTCCCACAATGACCACACCATCACCACCCTATATCTACATCCCACCAATCCTTCCCATTCAAAACCCGCCTCCCAGCCCGACCGTTGTGATTCCGGGCCCACCCGAGTCTTTACCGAGCCCTCCGGGACCTGCAATTGTCCCAGCCCCCCCGGGCCCCGGAACCGGTCCTAGTCCTACCCCGCCGATGATCAACCCGCCTTACGTTGTGCGTAGCCCCCCAATCTTCATTCCGAGTCCGTCCTCCTATGTCCCATCCCCGGGCGGAGGCGGCATTGTCCCAAGCCCGACTATATTCCTCCCGCCAATTGTCTACCCTCCTCCCACGGTGCCGCCACCCCCTAACACCAGCCCGAGCATAGCCTTGTGGTGCGTGGCCAAGCCCTCAGTGCCCGAGCCCATCATCCAGGAGGCCATGAACTACGCCTGCGGATCCGGCGCCGACTGCGACTCGATCGAGCCGCAGGGCTCGTGCTTCCAGCCCAACACGCTGTTCGCGCACGCTTCGTACGCGTTCAACAGCTACTGGCAGAGGACCAAAGTGGCCGGCGGCTCATGCTCCTTCGGTGGCACGGCAATTCTAGTCACCGTGGATCCTAGTAAGCGTACATTTGCATAGATTACTTGACCTCTCTATACTCTGCAACATATCCTAGATTTGCTCTTTGAACATCCTCCATCGGCTTTGCAATTTGAAAATCTCAAGTAATTATTTACGTTAAACCAGTTGTTAATGCCTCCTTTCTTTCTGGGGCCATTTTGTGCAGGCTATGATGGATGCCATTTTGTCTACCTGTAGCGAGTGAAACAGCCCTGTTCTTGGCAACGTCGAGAAGTAGAATTCGGATGATTTCTATGTCATCCCAACTTCCTAATTTTTTTTTTCTTTCCCTTGGAATAAAGTAGGAATTTCGGTTTGTTTTATCAGAGGATATATGGATTTTTGGCAGTAGATATATATTCATAAGGTGTATCAGATGACAGGGTATGAAAGTCATCACTTTCTAGTGTTATAGAAACAACCTCTTCTTCACTCCCTATGTTCACTCATGTGGGCAAGTGCAACATCATGCTGAATTTTAGCAGATAACAACAACGGTGAAGTTTAATTTGCAATGGAATGTTGCAGCTGATGAAAAATTTCGCCTTCATTTTTTTTTATCATTGCATCTTTCAAGAGAGCTAACAAATTTGAGGTACAGTTAATGAAAAACTCACTGAAGATCCTTCAAATTTACAGAAAGATGTAAAATTTTGGCTTTAATCATTCATAGAAGCACCATCGAATTTGGCTAACCCGAAATCACACTCGGTTGATGTAGCTTCTGTCGTCAAGAACTAGATGGTAACTACAGGTTCACCAAAGCTAGTGCATTAGACTCTGTAATATAGAGGATACATGCAGAGTCAAGTACCTGTACACTGTTGATACCAAAGTAGATCAGGCGAGTGCCGCTGAGACCAAACTTCCTATCTCTGCTTTGATTTGTTCATATATCAATCACGCACACATGCACGTACACAAAATATACATCTGAGCGTTTGTTCTTGCCACTAATTAGCCAGTTCCGAACTTGTCAGAGCACTTACTTGTTGCTAGTGTCGTATACTGTGTACCAAAATTGTTGTCCTACTGCAGCAAGTTGCTCTTCCTAAAAATGGGGAGGAAAAAACATATTACAACTGAAGCACGTATAATACATCACTTTGGTTTCTTACCAAAAAGAGGTGATCATGTGATAGGCCAAGCGCCATTCAAAGATGTATGCACAAAGGGTACCGACAGTTTCACCCGAGAAATTCACTCCTATCCACATGCTCAACAAAACTAATCGCAATGCAACAAGTGCGTGCGATCTGTGCCCTCATTGATCGACAAGCTCCAGTACCATTGTTTTGTTTTTCCATTTTCTATAATCGATTCTGCCGATCACAACGAGGTTTCGAACGTGCTTCATGAATGTGCATGGACATGAATTTTTGCACTCGGGGAAAACAATTCCCTAGAGCTTCAAGTCCATCACATCACCAGTCCAACCGATCCCTCGGTGCTGTGGACGGCAGAGCAGCCTTAGCAAGAGGGGTTGGGATCGGCGAGCTCCGACAAACTGGACACGTCGGATGCATCTGCAGCCACTGGTCCACGCACTTCCTATGGAAGACATGGTGGCATTCAGGCAACAACCTCAGGACGTCGCTGTCCTTGTAGTTGCGCAAGCAAATGGAGCAAGAAGAACGAGTCGAGTCCGAGCCCGAGCCTGAGTCGCCCTTACGGTCCTCGGCCAATTTGGGACGCACGAGCTTGTCAGGGCCATTCCTTTTGCTGACAGTGTCTTCTTGATCTCCTTCGACCTCTAGGATCGTTTCCGGACGTTGCTCCGGCGAAGAGTCGCGAGCAGGGTTCGGAGATGGCTGGTCGTCCAAGTTCGCGCGCATGCGGCTGATTATGTACGCTACAACAGCCACGAATATGACGACGACAAGGATGCCAATGGCGACTCCCCTACCATGTCCGGAATCGGCGGTGCCGTCCATTGTCAAAAAGAGGCGGGGGTTCGGGAAAATGATGGTGGCATATGAAAGGAGATGAAGGAGATAGCTAAAAACGGGAGCTGAACTCTGTCTCGCCAATGGCGTTTGAGCCACGAATCTGCAAGATAAGACTAGGAAGGGAGGAGAGAGTCTCTTTGAAATTCACAGTCAAAAAAGTCAAAATCAAGAAATCCATCTTTCCCCTCCGCAGGTCTTCCCAATGCCGCCATGGTGAGTCAAAGGTGGAAATATACGGAAGTTGCACGATTAGAAATTCTTAATTAGAAAGTCTCTTTTACTTGCGTCCCAAGTAATAAGTTTCATATTCGAATCCCACTCGTCAATACGACCTTTTAAGGTTAAACTACGAGCAATTTCATTTCTTGGCCAATCTCTAGTCTCGACACGAATGGCCTCCCCCTTAACCCGACCGAGAAGTGATGGGACGTAATTGGCACATCGATTGGAAGTCAAACCCGGAAGTCATTGTTTAGTTCGGTCAATAGGCACCACAACTACTTTTATTATTTTGCACCAAGCAAAAGGACCAAGACAAGCAAATGTTAGATAAAGGTGACATAGACCTTGATACGCAAGCAGAAAACACGACACTATTATTAATTACTACCTAGCGACTTTGCTCTACGCAAGGACGCAAGCCGGACCCCACGGACACTGCTGACATGCATGTATTTATTTGCATATTGATGTGTACAGGTACGAGAGCCGCGAAATTCCGCGTTGTATTTAGTCAAGATCATAATCGAACCATACACACAAAGACAAAACGGTGTTCTGGATAAATAATCTACGGCGATGGATTGCTTGCATTAATTAATTTTGTCATGAAAGTTGGCACGATAACTTGGTTCATAATTTACATTTCTTCTCTCTCCCGGGTCTCCTACCTCTCGCTTCCTTGCAATTAGCAAAGGAGATTCACAGAAATTTCGAAGAGAGTGACAGTTGCCCTTTGGTTCAATCAAACAATTAATGCATGTTGTATTTAATGTACATGTCGGACAACGTTCGCAGCTGTAAAATTCAAGGTAACGTGGGTTTTGCAAGGGAGACTTCGATTAGGTATGGTCTTCGATTTGTCCTCTTTCGAGTTTTTGGTTTAAAAAAAACCTCTTGGATTAGAAAACCAAAAGCGAAGTCAAAGTCTTCCCTTTGCTCGTTTAAGCTTATCATTTCTTTTGGAAAAAATACCACAAAAAATTCCAAACTTTGTCATTTGTGACAAATTTATTCTGAACTTTTTTTTGTGATACGAAAGACCTCAAACTATGCCACTTATGATAAATTTACAATGAACTTTTTTTTGTGACACGAAAAACCCCAAACTATGCCACTTATGACATATTTACCTCACAATATTTTGATCTATAGACATTTTCGTCTTTTTCCTTTTTTTTTTTCCTTCTCTCTTGTGACATTCTGGAATCCGACCCACTTGGGAATTATAAAATGAATGGTTTATGGACGTGCTTGTAGTTAGATCTCGCCCGAAATTGATCACTCCGGGAGTGCTAACCGTTAGGGAAAGGCTAATTAGGGATTTAAATTCGCGCGACCAAACAACTCGATCGTGAACCGACTTTCGACCATGAAAATTGTCGAGGTGACATTTTGAGCCAAAGTAGGCCGATCCAAGGATAGTTAGGGATCAGTTCGCCATTGTCATACGAGTGGATCGTGGGTGATTCCGCTTGACCACGAAATGAATTGACGAATGACCCCAAACCTATACCAAACGATCGTGCCCGTCGGAACTAGCGATCGATCCTCGCGATTAAGTGACAACCGAAGTCGTTACGACCCGAGTGAACTTGAACGTGGCTTGATTCAGTATCGGCCACGGATCAAATGTGCGAATTTACCCAAAAGCCACCCTTTAGTTTGAGATATGATCAAGTCACGTTAATTAAATTTGGTCATTAATTAACGACCAAGATTGGGCCTCGGAAATTATGAAGGTCATGACAGGATAATTGGACGATGTTGTCATTAGCTCGGTTAGCCTCAGATTTGTCCGGATTCTTCAGAAAAATCGAATTTCGCCAAAAAATGGAAAATGACCGTTTTACCCCTGGAAGTTTGTTAAGGCCAAGTGTAAATGGGGAAGGGCATTTTGATCATTTCACCCTAGCTTTAGAAATAGAAATTTTTGGACAATTTTGCCCTTGGGAATTTTGTGAAATTTCAATTTTGCCCCTGGATATTTTTGGTAAGGATTAATCTTGGCCGTCGATCTTAGGATAAGATCAAATCGTGACCGTTGATTTGGAAAGTAGAGAGGAGGGTAGGATGGTCATTTGGCAAAGGGGTTAGACACAAATTATTGGATGTTAGTATTTATTCTCTCTCTCTCTCTCTCTCTCCCCTCTCTCTCGGCCAAGCCCTCTCTCCCTCACGTGAAGTGGCCAGCCGGCCACGCCTTTGGCCGACGCCGCACGTCCGTCCACCGCCGTTCCGTAAAGCCGCCGTTCGCCCCTCTGTCTCGCCACACCACCGCCACCACCGTCCCTCTCTCTCTCTCCTGTTTTTCCCATCACCGAAACACCATCACCAGCCTTCATTTCTGTTCAGTCCAGCCGAGGAAGACCAGCAGCTCGTTGCCGTCCGCCGTCGTCCACCCGTGGCCGCCGTGAGCCGCCGGTGGTCCTCGCCGCTTGACGCTGTCGCTGCTGCTGTTTCCCCGCTGTTCAGCCATCTTTGGGTGCTTGAACTCGCGTAGGACCTCGAGTAAGTGATACCCTAACCCTCGCCTAGGATAACGGGTATTTTCGGGTTAGTTCGGGGCCGTTTTAGCGAGTTTTAGGGGTTAATCGTGGGATAATGGTTGGACTGATTTGGCTGAGTGTTTTGGGTGAAATTGTGATGATTTTTGAGGTGGAATTGATGTTAGAATTGATTGGTTAGGTAATCGGAATGAATCCGAGTGATTATTGTGGCTTATTGCGCGAAAAACGGGCCTAAATGTGCCGTTATGGTGATTTTCTGTTGTGGCCGAGTTACTGTTCATCCAGTGGCCGAATTGGTGTGTATTGGTGATTAAAATATAGTGCGTGTTGGTTTGGGGATTGTCGGTAGAAGTACGACACCCGTGATTGGCGGAATTTGGCCTAAAATGCAGAAATTCGGGTTAATTGTGCACGTGCGAATTTAATTGGGTTGGCTGATTTGTGGGTGAAATGGTGATGATTTGGGACTGAATTGAGGTTGAATTGGGTGCTGGAAATTGTGGCTGGCATTGACGAGCGTATGGATTGATTTAGGGACAAATTGTGCCGGTATGGCGTGCCGTGTGGTGGCTGAATTGTGGGGTTTGTTAGGGCTGGAAATAGACTCGGAAATGCTGAATTTATTCCATGATTGTGGCTGTGATTGTGGGCCCGATAGTGGCCTTGTATGTTCGTTGAATTGTGAATTGATTGATTGAAATGTGGATCGTTATGTGCACGCATTGGCTGAATTGATTTGATTGGTAATTGGCCATGATTGAGTGTTGATTGAGCATGTGAAATGCGTGTGGTTTGGTGCGTGCACGGGCCAAACTTGAACGGCTAGTATATTGGCATGTTGGCGTGTAAATCGAGCGAGTGATCAAGTGAGAATTGTGGGTGATGCTGTATGTGTGGCTATGAAAATCCCTGAGGCGGTACCATTACGTGGGGAATTGATCCGTCCTGAGGCGGTACTACTACGCGGGACGATGCCCGGTATTACCGGAGGACGGCCAACCTGAGGTGGTACCATTACGCGGGTTGTGTCGTAGGTGGTGGATGTTGAGCCTGAGGCGGTACCATTACGCGGGCAAGACATACGGCCTGAGGCGGTACCACTACGTGGACCAAGAAGTGTTGTGAATATGAGTTGGTCGCAGTGAACCTGAGGCGGTACTATTACGCGGGTCACTGGAGAGTTGAGTGGAAAACATGAGATGGTCGCAGTGAACCTGAGGCGGTACTATTATGCGGGTCACTGGCGAGTTGAGTGGAAAACATGAGATGGTCGCAGTGAACCTGAGGCGGTACCATTACGCGGGTTACTGGCGAGTTGAATGAAAAGAGTGTGATGAGTCAAGAACGAGTGCGTGAAATGTGTTTGGAATGTGCTTGTGGTTGGAAATTGTATTATTGTGGCTATCGTGCAGGTTGCATGCGTGAAAAGCCCAGGTAAGTGCAATTGTGTGCAGGATGTGTTTATTGAGTGATGTCATGTTTGGTTTTTTCTGGAGGTACGTGTTAGCCTAGGTGGGGTTTAGGGTGTTACTTGCTGAGAAGTGTTCTCACAGTTGTTTCAACCAAACAATTTCAGAACCTCGGCCTGAACAATGAACCCTCCTCCGTCGCCGCCGCAGCGTTTTGGGATTTCAATGCACACCGACCATAACGTGGTAGAGTACCCGACGGACGAGCAGGAGGCTCAGAGGGATTCAGACTCGAGTTCTGAGGAGTCGGATTCAGAGTGGATGCCATCTCGAGGGCGTAGGGGCTAGTATAGGGGCTAGGTAGACCTTTTGATATATCCCATTTTTGGAGATAGGGTATACCCAGGCTGCTGATCCTTTTTTATATCGGTGGTATATAGTTTAAAGGTTCGGTGTGTATGTATATGTTGTGGTTATGTAAATGATGGATATTGTATAAGTTTGAATAGGTAATGGATGTTTATTCTCCCTTGTACCCCTAGCAAATTATTGTCCGGGAATTTGTGGCTTTCGCTGATTGATTTAAATCTCTGATAAGTTGAATTGGGTCGGCGATTTTCTGGGACGTCGCGATATTCGACCGAAGAGTGTTGTTGCGAGCTCGATGGGGTTCGGGGCGTGACATCTCTTCCCTCCACCGGCCATGGCGGAGGAAAGCCGGCGAGCGCCCTCGCCCAACTCTGACTCAAGTGAGGGCTGCCCTCGCCTGCCCAGGCAAGGGCGACCCTCGCCAACGTCGGGCGAGGATCGCCTTCGCCAGATTCGGCAAGGGCAGCCCTCACCCAGCGCCGGCGAGGGCCCTCACTGGCTTCCCTCCGCCATGGCCGGCGGAGGGAAAAGAGAAGGAAAAAAAAAAGGAAAAAAAAAACAGAAAAAGGAAAAAGACGAAAATGCCCATGGATCAAAGTATTGTAGGGTAAATGTGTCACAAGTGACATAGTTTGGATTTTTTCGTGTCACAAAAAAAAGTTCAGGATAAATTTATCAGAAGTGGTATAGTTTGGGGTTTTTCGTGTTACAAAAAAAAGTTCAGGGTAAATTTATCACAAATGACATAATTTAGAGTTTTTGATGGTATTTTCCCTTTCTTTTATTGTGGGGGTACCCTTGGACTTGATTGTACAATGCTATTGCTTTACTTGGGTTGTACATGGACGTTTTGACGTCCCAATTGCATTTTTTTACCCTTTACGACAGGTGAAGAGAGATTCGCGCCGTTCTTACTCATGCCAATTACGGCGAGTAAAACTCTCATGTAGCGGTAGGAGGGCCTCCACCGTTAGCATCAAGTCCAAACTGAGTGATTGAAGGATAATTTGAATTCAGCATTCGAAGGTAGGAACGAAACAGCATCTCTACAAGTGCATCATACATGATTATGATTTGACTTCATTAACTCCAACTGGATTGTGTGAGCTGATGAATATATTAATGGGGTGTGTAGTGGTCAAGAATAGAATTTGTTGGATCAGTCCTAACGGATGACAATTCAGTTTAAAATTTTTCAATTTTGCAAAATGATTCCTAAACTTTTGCACGAAATTTTAATATAGTCATTCAAGCCAATTTTTATCGGGTAATCGCTAATATAACGGTGTGCCACGTAGGACGGCCGATAATGACTGAACGCAACGTCAGCGATTTCTGAAAAAATTTAGCTGGCTAGAAGGACTATAATGAAATTTAGTGCAAATATTTATGACTCAATTGGCAAAGTTGGAAAGTTCAGGACTGAATTGATATCCACACAATAGATCTAAGATTGATTGGATAATTTTTCCATGCTCAAGATATAAATACATGCAAAAATGGTGCATAACAAAGAAAAAAGAGGAAAAGGGTGATTGTGGTTTGTCTTCTCAATTAAACTATAGATGATCATTTTTTATCGCCCACGTGGTATCACAATAGATGTGATTTAATATTTAAATATTCTATCACCCCATATGCTTACTATTAAGCATGGAAATATTTCATTGTGGAGTCAAATAGAGGTATGAAAAGAATTGAACTCGGGACCTCCTACTCTGATATCATATGAAATTTTGTAGGACTGCTGCCAACCGTTATAAAAGCTTAAATTATTATATGAAAGCTTGGTTTAATATTTAAGACTCCATTTGTTTCGAGGAAAGCATTTTTCGGCATTTGGATCGCTTAGGAAAATAAGTCGACAGAAAATATTTTCCTAATAAACGGAAAATGTTGTCTTACCAAAGTTTAAATTAAGAAAAATGATTTCCTCTTTAAAATTTCAAAAATCATTATCCAATATATGACTAAATACCAGTACTTGGACAAGAAACTTTGCGTTTGGACACATAAATCCCAACACTCGTTCCCAAGCCATTGGCAACAAGGCCGGGACTAGGTTGGGTCCTCAGCGCCCGAGCTCAGATCCATCGAGGTTGGGCCTAGGACCCCGACGCCCCTACTGGGTCCCATTAGGTTGTGCCCAAGACCTCAGCCGCTGCACCGAGGCCAAGCATAGGACATTGGTATCGATGCTTGTGCTCGGGATGCCAAGTACAGGTCCTCGATGCCTATGCCCAGGTCCATCTAGGCCAGGCCTCGGATCCCGGTTCCATGCCTAAGACCCAAACTCCCAAGCCCAGGTCCATCGAGGCCGAGCCTGGTACTCCCGTGCCCGTTCTCTTGCATGTGCCTCGATCCATCAAAGTCACAATTAAATCTCTTCCTTCGCTTCTCAACATAGTCCGCTGCCTCATTACCAATCCATTTTCATCCAAAATTTTTCTACCTTTCTTAAATCTCGAAGCTATTAATTTACGAACATTACTGGTTAACTGGTCAAGAGTCTTTGATGATTGGTAGTGCCACCTTAGAGAATTAACGCTATGAATGTGGAGCTCGAGTTGCTTATAAATTTACTGTTCCTTTGGCAGTCCGAAAGGATTGCAAGAAGCCTGGATTCAGTAGTGTCTTGTCGTTCAAAAAACACGAGCGGAATCTATCACGTGCATAGCTCATCGCCTCACGATCAAAACCTACCCGAAGGTTCTCTTCTTTTGTGATCGGTCTCTCTAGTCGACTTGCCTCTTCCTCTTTGATTTTGTCAAACTAAAGACCCTACTAGTACATCACAACTTTTTATCCATTCCTTCTCCAAACATCTTGGAAATGCATATGGGAATTGGCAATAGCATGAGAACCCATTTGGTATTTGGTACGGTTGTGGCTGCGTTGATGGTGATGGTGGCTTGAAGACGATGGGTGATGGCAATGGGAGGAAGGCCGAAACTGAGAGTGGAAGAGGACATTATCGAGATTATCGAGGTTGTGGGACAAAAAGGAAATTACAGTTCTTCCTCATGTCTTTGGTAGACCTAAACCCGTGCTCTGGCCTAGATTTTTATTCCCTTCTTTCTTTCTCTGAGGTCCACCTCGCGCCCCATTATATTGCCCGAAAGCCACCCTGATCTTGATCAGTGTGAAAACTACTAAACACTTTGTATTAACTTTCAATCACATTTATCGTGTGGGCACACACTTAAATAGTTAAATGAACCCTTTCAGATCCTTAGTTGATGTAATTAACTTTGAAATTTCAATATCATCCGATCCCACAATCATGTGTGCACAGCTTTCACATCGTGTTGGGATACATTTATGTAGTGTCGAATTCTATTTAAAGTAAAACTCTATAGAATTTGCACCCTAATGTTTCCTAGGATACAAATTTGAGATGGTGGCTGATTTTTTAAAAACTTTAGGTTTGAAATCTTGTTTTCAACTCAATAGTATGTATGCAAATTCATATTCTTCTTTCAATGCATGCCCATGGGGAAAATTACCAAAAAAGTCCTAAACCTTTTGCAATTGTGTCAATTCAGTCCTAAACTTTTTTTTTGCCAATTCAGTCCTAAACCTTTTGCAATTGTGCAAAATTCAGTCTATCCGGCCACTTTTGGCCGGCTGGTGCTGACGTGGACGCCGGCCGGCTGACGTGGCAATTTTTAATATTTTTCTCTTTCTTTTTTTTTCCCCGGTCGCCGGTCCGGCGATCGGCGAGAGGCTGAGGCCGACGGGGTGGACCTCGCCGGCCATGGGCGAGGCTGGCCCTCGTCGGCACTGGCGAGGCCTCGCCAGATCTGGGCGAGGCCTCGCCGTCGCTGGGCGAGCTCGACCTCGCTCGGCCATGGCGAGGCTCGACCTCGCCCGGCGACGGCGAGGTCTCGCCAGATCTCGGGCGGCCTCGCCGTCGCCGAGGCGAGGTCGAGCCTCACCGTCGCCGGGCGAGGTCGACCTCGCTAAGTGACGGCGAGGTCTCGCCAGATCTGGGCGGCCTCGCCGTCGCCGAGCGAGGCCTCGCCCAGATCTGGCGAGGTCGACCTCGCCGTCGCCGGGCGAGGTCGACCAGATCTGGCGAGGCCTCACCGTCGCTGGGCGAGCTCAACCTCGCCGGCATTGGCGAGGACCAGCCTCGCCATCGCCGAGCGAGGTCGAGCTCGCCCAGCGACGGCAAGGCCTCGCTAGATCTGGGCGGCCTCACCGTCGCCGTCGCCGGGTGAGGTCGACCTCGCCATGCGACGGCGAGGTCTCGCCAGATCTGGGCGGCCTCGCCGTCGCCGGGCGAGCTCGATCTCGCCCAGCGACGGTGAGGCTGGCCCTCACCAGTGCCGGCAAGGGCCAGCCTCGCCCATGGCCGGCGAGGTCCACCCCGCCGACCTCAGCCTCTCGCCGATCGCTGGATCGGGGAAGAAAATAGGGGAAAAAAAAAGAAAGAGAAAAAAATAAAAAATCGAAAAATCTTTTAAAAAATATTAAAAATTGCCACGTCAGCCGGCCGGCGTCCACGTCAGCATCGGCAGGCCAAAAGTGACCGGATGGACTGAATTGGCACAATTGCAAAATGTTTAGGACTGAATTAGCCAAAAAAAAAAGGTTTAGGACTGAATTGGCATAATTGCAAAAGGTTTAGGACTTTTTTGGTAATTTTCCCCATGCCCATGGGATGTGTGGGTCTAATGATAACAACAACTAAATATTGTTTCCACTTCAGAAATGCAGACAACAAGATATTTCACTCATTTCTCACCTCACATGCATTGGAAGATGGATATGAATTTGCATATTGGCATACTATCGAGTTGAAAATAAGGTTTTATACGAAGTTTTTAAAAAATCAATCCACTATCTCAAATTTGTACCCTAACTAGGAAACATTAGGGTGAAAATTCTATGGAGTTCTACTCTAAATAAACTTCACTAAACTCTAAAACCATAAATACAACGTGAAAGGATGTCTTAGTGACCACGGCTTGTCTTCTCAATTACACTTTAGATGATGATTTTTGGTCGTCCACATAACCGATGTCGTACTCTCCGTAACTAAACTAGGAACGGAACTATCGGAAACGGCCCGTCCCGTCCCTATACTGCTTTTTTAGAGACGGCATAAATCCGTCCGTAAAGCAGCTGCGATGGGTGGCAGTCGCCCCATTGCCTTTAGCGGCCAGTGTGAAGCATCATTTGAACATTCTATTGTTTGCAACAAGAACAGTAACTCAGTTTACATAACGATTTTATTGGAAGGATCTCATTAAGATTGGATCCTCCCGAATTATTGATTCGGATTTCACGAGATCATGACACGAGCGTGTCTTTACTGCATGGAAATAGCTAGCGGGACTCGACGTTATTTCTGTGTGTGTGTGTGTTAAGTTTTCAATGCATACCCGGGTCGCGTAATTTGTCTTCTACGCGAGCCGCCTCCGTCATGTATCGATGCAGAGGTCAAGTCCTGACCCTTCGAGCTTCGTCCTTGCGATCTCGTCGAGACGCTGGGCCATCTCCGCCGTGAACAAGCTCTTCCAGTCCCCGACAATGCCCTTCCTGAAGAAGGCGCTGTTCGGCATGTTCACCCACGGATCGACCCCGCCCTTGTTCACCTCCAAGCTCTTGAGCCTCTCCAAGCTGCACCTCCAAACAATGTCCTCCACTTCCTCTTCCTCCTCCAACTGCCTCCCAAGGAATGAGCTCAGCCGCTTCACTTGTCCTCTCGGGTCTCTCTTCAGGTCCTCGTACTTCAAGAGCAGCACCTTCTCCGGCATCTTCGAGCTCGCATTGTAATACTCGAGCACGTGGTCAAAGAAAGGCCCGAACAAGCAGACCCCATCGCAGAAGCCCTCAAAGGCGCGCTCAAACGGGAAGGGACCCTCTTCGTTGCTCCGGAGGTGGTTGAAGAAGTGCCACAGGGAGACGAGGGTGTCTTTCGGGTTGCGCGTGAGGTAGATGATCTGGCATGGAGAGGAAAAAATAAATGCTATAGACTCGTTCTACGAGAATGTGGTGAATGTGGTGAACCGAATCGATCACAGTGCAGAAACAGCATGAAAAGCTTTTCCATAAGACCCAATGCAAGCCTTGCAGCTTCTTAATTTATGATCGGTTGGGTATCCTAGAGTTCAAGATTAGGCAACACTTACTTTGCATGGAGAGGCCTTGACGGATCCGGGAAGCGCACTGTAAGGCAAGTGGGTGTGGAACAACCTTGGAGACTCGATGACCGAGAGGTCCGGAGGCGGGTTCTCCGTGAATACCTGGACCTCCAAGGTCTTCACGTAATGCGCGGGGTGGTTAACCGCCAGGGGGTCTTCCAACCGATCTTCTTGTTCGGTGCCGGCTGCAATGTTGCCATTCTCTTGACTCTGTTTGTGTTTAGTGCTTGTCAAGATGCAGAAACAGAGCGCTTTGAGCCACGTGCTTCCAGTTTTCATGGCAGATGCCAAGAGGACGTCGTCGTCTCGCGGCCGGAACCGTGAACGAAGAGCCAGGGCGGCCTTGAGATGGCAGGGGCGATACCAGAAGCCGTTCCACTGGAAGAGTTCTCGAGTCTCCCAGAACAACTGCTTTGGGAGCTGGTCGAGCGATATGGATTCTTCTTCTTCCGTAGGAGCAGTATAACCCGTGGTTCTCGGCTTTTCGACGTCAACATTCACGGTAGCTACGGCCAGTGTTTTGTGGTGTTGTGTTACTTCCATTGGAGCACTTTTCTGGTTCTGTTGTCACCGGAGAAAACTTAGACATATGAGTCAGGCTGAGATCAATTGGTGCATATCATGTATAGTCCATTCGTACGGATAGATTGTAAAGGATCTTTTAGAAAGGGCAGCTGATGCTTATGCCAAAGACACTCTTGTCTCGAGATGGAACACTTTCGAGCAAACTGTGAAAGCAAATGCACGGCCTTTGTGATTTATTCTCTTCTTTATCAGTTGAAGTATCGCATTCGCTTCATTCATTCTAGGAGCCGGAACAATTTGCAACACGGCTTCCTTCTCGACCAAGACTGATCTCCATCCCCGAGGTCCGAAAGAATCGGAAAAAATATGCGTTAATACTAGGGGTGTCAATGGGTCGGGTCGGGCTTTCTTGATACCCGACCCGACCCGAAACCTACAGGGTCATGCTTGACCCGCCCAGACCCACCCAAGACCCTGTTCACCGTACACCCCCAAGGCCCGGGCCGGGCCGGGCCGGGTCGGGTCAGGTTTCGGGTTTTTTTTTTTTTTTTTTTTCGCTTTCGCGCAGATAGTTACATCAAAAGGCAGAAGACAATTCTCATGAAGAAAAATTTCCAGCAAGCAATACATGTATACATCCATATAGAACTTGATCTCTTTTATTGAAGATCAACATACAAAGACTGACTTCAGCCTTGGCACCTAACTGAATAAATAATCATTTGAGACTGATATAAAGGTGACCCGTGATATAACAACATAACAGATAAGTAACTTACATAAATGAAAGACCCAGCAATAGATGTTTAGATATGGTCCTGCAAATCAACAAGCAGCTCGGGTCCTTTGAAGTACCTACAATTGTGGCATTTAGGTTGTAAGAGGGACTATAACTCGCATTCATGAATAAATAGACCTAACAATTATTAGACACAGCAAAAAGACAAAAAACAATGTCCATGCTTCTTCAAGTGCTGTGAACAGATTGAAAATTCACAAAAGACCTAAACTATTTAACCATGAAGCAATATTCTCAGTAATCGTGATTAAAGTCCTGCAGATATCACTTGAACAATTTAGATGTGCACTAAATTTTTGAAATTCCAAATCCTTTGCTTAAGCCAAAAGGCTCTGCCTGGCAGGTTAGACATAAGCAAATCATTCATAATCAATTCTTGATGTCTATCCATCCAGATTAAAGCAAAATGCCATACTGTTTTCTTGCAATCATAACTCACAAGATATTAGATTAAACTGGATGTATGGAACCAATTTGCAAATGCTAGTGACACATTAGCCTTCAATTGGTATTTGATGACATAACAATGATTCTTAGCAACCTAAATTAATCATCAAAATATATTCTTAGCTGTCAATCTAAAGTTCAACACCCTGCTGTATCTTCTACAACCAAATGATGCAAATCTCTCAAAGAAAATAATGGCATATAGAGTTACCCATGAATCCATGATCCAAAGTTGAATAACTTCAACACAAAATAAGTCTCCAAACCATTAGTCAAAATCTTAAAATTATGCAGATCCTAGTTGAAATCCCTCTCTCCCTCCTTCTCACTTACACTCAATCCCTAGCATTAACAATCATCACTGGCTGCGAGTTTCTGCCACCAAGAGCAAACTCGTCAGCAAGCCTCATATGTTACCTACCTAAATCTTTTTAATTCTCAAAACTAGTCGGCAATGCCCATCTAATGCCAATCCACATAATTAGCCACAGTTGTTTCCTACAGATGCTGTTAAAGTCTCAAGTAAAAGTCAAAGTTCAGTTTTTGTATATATTGAGTAACAGAAATGACCCTTTGCTTAAGGCATTAGTCAATTGACCATGATTAAAAAATAACTAAAGAGTTGGACAAAGTGAGACAATTAATGTAGTGAGCAAATTGAAAGAATGAAAGAACACAGGACATAGCTTGACAAACTCAAATTTTGAGATGCAAAGTGTAACGAACCAAACTTTTTCAGCAAAACTTCCTACGTCACAACCAACTGGAGATTTAATTCATCCTTAACGCAACCAAGATGACAAGGATCAGTTCGTACCTTACCTTCTAAAAGAAACTACTACGAAGGTAACAATCCAAAAAATAGCAGAAAGTTCAAATATTGTTCAAGAAACTTATCAAATGTGGAGACACTGATGAAACAATACCTAAAACCGACTCAGTCAAGACCTCTCATTCCAAAGAACCACCCAAAAAAAGAAACCAATTCAAGACGAGAACAAGTTGCAGCTTCTAAAAATACATTCTCGAACCGAGGACTCGCAAGTATAAGATCTCACCCAAGCAAAAGAGGAAACAAGAACACCATCACACTCAAGACCCACGACCCAGAAAAACATACATTCTCGTCCCGATGCCTTGCGCGGCATTGCTTGGGGAACTTGAGCTCGTCGCTCTCCCCATCAGCGGGAGATTTCACTCTCGCTTCGCCCGCCACCGCTCTCCGGCCACCGCTCCGAGTCCTCGAGGAGACCCCGCAATCTTCGCCGGAGCGTGAACGGAAGGGCGGGAGCTCGCGAGCGCAAGCGATCGCGGAGCAAAAGGGAGCAAATCGAGGACGCTAGGGCAAGCGGAGCGAAAAGGACAACAACAGAGGCGAACCCTAACAGAGGCGTTGCAGAGCTAGAGAGAGAGAGAGACCGACCTCGAGCGACGACGACGGCGACGGCGACGGCGACGAGCAAAGATGCAGAGAGATGATCAACGGGGGTAGAGACGAGAGCAGACGAGGCGAGGCGAGGCGAAAGAGCGTCCGATGGCGATGGCGATTGGCGACTGACTCAGTCGGACTGAGAGTCTGAGAGAGGGAGATGGGCCGGCCCAAAGTGTTAATGGGTCGGCCTGACCCTACCCAACCCTAATGAAACCCCAAATTTTAGGGCCATATTCGAAGAAGATTAAGGCCCGACCCCAAAATATCCCAAATTTTAGGGCCGGACCGGGTCGGCGCGGGTCTGGCCGGGCCGGCCCGGGTTTTATTGACACCCCTAGTTAATACCATGTTGTTAAAGTTTCTCACCTCACTCAGAAAATTACATTTCTCTTGGCGCTGTCAACTTGCTACTATTCTAAAAAAGAATAGACCGTGGTCCTTCAAGAAAAGCTCTTCTTTTTTCGATTTCGTTTAATCTTAGAGGAAGAGTTACAAATGGAGCATGAGCTATACGGAATTACCAAAAATGGAATCATCTTCAAAAATGAGAATTCACAGAGATGAGGAGGATTCATATGATCAAGCATTGAAGAGCTTCCTAAAAGGTCCGTCCTTCCTATCCTTAGCTGCTTCCGTGAGAGCAAGAAACCTCTTGAAACCCGTTGAGGCGGCACCTCGCCCAAGCGCGGCAGCTCTAGTGAGCACATCCTCCCCAGAAGCAATCAAGCCGACTGAAGCAATGTTGGACATTGCAGGAGCTATTATGGGAGCTGGGGCAGCAGGAACGATGGGTGGTGCTACGGGAGGTTGCGTGATCCCAGGTCCAAGTTTGTTGAAGTCATCCAATATAGTTTGCTGATCGGCCTTCTTGAGCCCCTGCACATGCCGATTCCACGTCACAACTAGCATAAAAACAAACCCTAGATGAGGTAGTTACGATCCATATAAAGAAATCGTGGAGAAATGATGAAGCATTGATGCTTGCTGATTAATTTCCATCTTGCAAACAAGAAAGAGATCACAGCAGAACTGTTTTTCTTTATCACGAGAGAAGACTGTTCGCCAACCAAGTCGCCATGTTGGTAAAATAATGTCGTTTTTTTTCCCTTGGTGTATCTTGATCTATAAATCGTCTAAAAAAGCAAGTGCTATCAAAATTTGCCTAAGAGATTAATCTTCTGTCAACTACCTTGAGCTCCAGAACACGCTGAAACTCCATTGGTGTCCCTTCCGGCAATAATGCACGATATGTATCTGCCACAGAATCAACTGGAGACAGAATGACCTGCGTTGGGAAAACAAATTATGAGTGCAACAGATAAAGGAGACTTCACGTACTTGAGAGTAATGGAGTAAAGAAGAGAACCTTTAGAAGTGCTTCAGCTTTACTCATCTCTCGGCTTACAAACTTCGAATAGCTGGCAGCAGTTGATGTCTGCACCACAGAAACAGATTACAAAATGGTTGCCTAAGCTTGGTTGTCAAATGGAAGAAAAGACGAAAGAATCCCTTAAATAACAGCCGGGATCGACCAAGAATTCCAATCAAACGTGCACCATGTAACCACATCAATATAAATTAATTTCATTTCCTGTAAAATTTGCAGATATAGGATCTTCTGACTATGAATCGAAGCAAAAATATGAGCCAAACAGTTTGGCTGCCTACTTATCTATGCTTGCCTGAAAGCATCAACTTTTATTCTCTTATCACAGGAAGCTGATTGCCAGTCCTTTTGCCACCGAACATTATGATCTCCAAGTCCCTCGCAATTGCACCACATCAGCTTAATCTGGACCTCCCTAGTTACTATTGCATCTCCAGTCAACTGAGACAGCTGGGATGTTCTAGGCCCACTGCCATCCTATCTAGTCCAGCTATGACTAGCAACATAACTTTGCAAGTATCCTTGTAGAGCTATTGCAGAGTATATAGTAGCTGAATGATTTTGTCTGTTGCAAAAGGTATCATAAAAACTAAGCAAGAAACATAATCTAAATCAACACTGGACAAACTCCCCAATTAAGTAAGTCATGGACGACCAGAAGCAAGAACCCGGAGTCCAAAAAATAGGTTGAGATGGATAACTGTGCTCCAAGGTGCAAGCAACACGATCAATAGAGAGAGGTGAGCAGGGTTTCAGAGTTCCAAGCAATTGGTGGCTGTACTTGAAAGTCAATCTCACTCATTCCAGTGTGAGCAATATACAATTTGCCATCATAGGTTAACCACATCCACAAAATGCTAAAAGAAAAAATCTAGGTAACTTGCACGTTTAGATGTTTTGTCAACAATAGAAAAAAAAGTGAAAAAGGAAATTGAAGAGTATAATTAGATGTCATCGAAGCAATAAAACTATAACAAAATGTATTAACTCACCTGTCGGCCTAGGGAAGGAATATCTAGAAGGATTGTCTTTATGGCTTGAGTATCCAACAGCATCTGCA